TTGGGCGGCGACGGCGACGGCGACGCGCCCCAGATCGCCTGGGCCCGCAGCCTGCAGGACAAGGGCGCCGTCGCGTTCCCCGGCCGGGTCGAGGGCTTTGTGGCCGTCGGGGAGGAGGATCGGCTCGGGCTCGGGCTGCTTTATGCTGGTGAGTTGCCGTGGTTTCTACTTCCCCCCTCCTTTGGAGTCTGAAGGCGTTGCTGATGGCTATGTTGCTGGAACAGTGTGCAGTGACCCGATACGTGGACCGAACTTGCCTGGGCGTGATCTTCCTGTTTATAGCAACTACTTTTACAGGGACGAGTACGATCAGTACGTCTGCTGCTAATCCCCTCAAACCTTTTCTGCCTCCTCGTGCGGTAGCAACCCTCTACCCTGGCTGATATACCTACCAAAAAAAAAAAACAGCATCCAGACCGGCCCGGACATAAACCCAACCTTGTCCAGGTTTTGCACCCGTCAAAAAGAAGACCTCTTCAGACTAAAAGACATATCCACAATCACCTGGGACCCCGCCACCGAGAGCATCGTCCTGACCTCCTCGGCCGGCGCCCACAGCAGCACCATGGTCCGCAGGCTGCGCCTCAACCGACACGACGACGACGACGACGGCGACGACACCCCAACCTGGCCGCCCAACCGCCCCGCCGGCTTCTCGGACCACGTCGGCAAGCTCCCGCCCGTCTGGGCCTGCGCCGTCGCGCCCCGGGCCAGCAGTGCGGGCCCGTACCTCGCCCTGGGCACCGACCGCGGTGTCCTCGTCATGCACGACCACCACGCCGCCGCCACCACAGACGGCCGCCGCCGCAGCACCGTGACGGGCATATCGGCGCCGCCGCGTCGTGGGAGCGCCGCCCCGCCAAACGTCGTCCCCGGCGGCGAGGTCTTTGCCCTCGACTTTGTCGGCGGCCACCCGCACGTCCTGGCCTGCGGCGGGAGGGGGCCGGCGGGCGTGTGCGTGGCGGACCTGCGCGAGGAGCGGGAGTGGCGGCGGGGCGCGTTCGCGGCCACCGAGGGGGGGATCTGCGAGGCGAGGGTTGATGTTGTTGCGGGAGGTCCCCTGAGAAGCGTCGTTACGAGCTTTAGCGGCGCCGCCGCCGGGAGGAGGAGGAGGATGCTCTACAGCGACGGCAGCGTCCTTCCGCAGAACGGCAAGGAGCCGCAGACGGCGCTGCTCTGCCACCCGGGCCACGGCGGTGACGCGCGGTATGCGGGGCTCGTGTTCCCCGAGGGCGTGGCGAGCGCGGTGCCGTACGGGTCGGGCCGGGGCGGCGGCGGCGGCGGCGACGACTACAAAAGCGTGCGCTGGCTGCAGGCGGCGCGCGAGCCCGTCGTCAACCACGTCGTGTCACTGAACCGTCACCAGCTGCTCACGACCGGCATCGAAGGCCGCATGCACGTGTGGGACCTGCGGCGGCCGGGAGGGGTGCCTTATACGACGTGCGTTTTTTTTTTTCCTCTCTCGTTTCACCCCTTACCTCTGGTGTGCTTTATCAAGACAAGAGAGAGGGAAAAAAAAGATATCAGATAGCTAACGAAGAAAACAGCTTCCCCGCCTTCAAGAACACGGCCACGGTCCGCGGCCTCGGCCTAGCCGTCGAAAAGACGCTGGGCGTCGTCGCCGCCGCCAACGACGACGGCTCGGTGCGCCTGCACTCGCTGCGCTCGGGCCTCCCGCTGCCCTCGCCCGCGCTCGACGGGGCGTTTCCCGCGTCGTCGTCGTCGTCGGCGCTGCCGTGCCCCCGCCTCCAGTGGGCGGAGCTGCCCGGCGACCGCGCCCCGAGCCTGTTCGCCGCCCGTGGCGCCACCGTCTGCAAGTTCTCGTCGGGCGTCGACTCGCGCCTGCGCGGGGACGAGTTCTCCGAGTAGGCGTGGTGTGTTGTGATGTGGTGTGCAGTGCGGCGTGCTGCTAGTGCGAGGCGTTTTGCGATGTTTTTCTCTTCTTTCACTTTTCGCAGTTCACACAACCTCTGTATCAGGAGGGCGTTCGCAATGTGCGCAACTGCAGCCATGTTTTCTTTTTCCTTCTATAAACGCCACATGTACGCTCGAGGCACTCGGCACACCCTATCCACCGCATAGACTGCCACGTACGCCCCTAGTAGTTTGTTTGTCTGACCTGCCTAGCTTTCTCGATCGAGCAACGCCGGTCTTGGAGGACGGGCACAGCTCTCGTTTAGCGACAGGGCTGATTAAATAAAGCATATCCGATGCGGCGGCAAGCAAAACGCCGGTAAATATGCACCCAACATAACGACGCCAACCCTCTCAAGACCTATTCGCCCGCTCCTCGATATCCTCCTGTGCGCCGTCTCTGCCGCCGTCCTCTCCTTTTATTTTGATTATATATTCCCAGCCCCTGTCGTCTATAGCTATTTTCCCCAAGTTTTGACTTCAATGTCCCGTCTGCAGCGGCCGCCTAGGGCCCTATTTCTCGCTGGCCAGGATGATGCGTCCGTCCTCGGTCTTGAGGTTGAATGTGCCCTCGAGCCTGGGAAAGGCCCTCAGGAAGGCCGGGCCCAGGGTCCAGTTCTCGTTGCGGCGCAGGTGGCGCTCGAAGACGGGGTTTATCATGAGCTCGTCGCCGTCCTGGCTCTGCAGCAGCGCGTCCGTGTCCTCATACGGCCAGTTGAGCGAGATGGTGGTGGTGAAGGGGATGAAGAAGTGCTCAAAAGGCACCGACGGCACCGACGTCGCCGACGCCGACGACTGCGGGGTGGCACGGCCGTTGGCGCTGCTGTTGCTGCTGCCGCTGCCGTTGGCCCCGTCGGCGTCGCCCCCGACCGTCTCGGCTCGGCTCAGGCCCCCCTCTACTGAAGGGGCGCCACCCGTGGCTTCGCTGTACTCGCGCGCAAGCTTGTCGCGCATTATCGGGAACGGGAGGTGGTCGAACCAGACCGGGTGCGAGCACGACAGCTGCGCGGGCGAGGGCCTGCACCAGGGCGGCAGCCGCTCGAGGTTGTCGGGTGTCGGGCTAACGTGCCAGCGCATGATGAGGAACATGATGTATAGCACGGCAACGCGCTCGGGCAGCCCGGCCAGGCCCGGGAACGTCTGCAGGATGTCGGTAAAGACTTTGGACAGCGGGTGCGAGAAGCGGCTGTTGCCCGGGTTGAGGAGCGACGAGACAGAGGGATAGCGAGGCCCGATGATCTCGGACGTCGCTAGGCCCTCGGCCACCCGCTGCCGGCGCTCGCTGAGGAAGTCCAGCAAGAGGCTGTCGAGCGGGCACGTCGGGGCGCAGTTGAGCGGGATCGCAACCTGCTGGCCGGCCGTGCCCTCGTGAGCTGCGGCAGGGTACGGGGAGCCTCCGCCGAGCTGGGGGTCCAAGTTGGGGTCTAGCCGGGGGTCTAGGCGCGGGTCGAGGCGAGGGTCTAGGTTAGGGTCTATGGCAGACTGCTCCTGGTTAGACATCTGGCCGAGCGAGGGAGCTTCGGCCGAGTCCTGGAAGGGGTCGTGCTTCATGGGCACGTGACGGTAGTTGGGCGTGTCCTGGGCGCCGTGGATGTTGGGCTGCATGCGGTGGACGCGCGAGGGGTCGCCGACCAGGAAGTCGAGGCCGAGCCGCTCGGACCCCATGTCCAAGCCGTGATGCATGTGTTGGCGCTGCTGGCTCATGTCCCTGGGCTGGGCATGGCTGCCGTTCGTCTGCGGGCCGTTGACCATGTCCACCGAGCCCTCCGGGGAGGCGGTGCCTGTTGGGGTGGGCGCGTGGCGGGGAATGCCGTCAATGGGCGACGCTCCTTGGGCGGGCATGTAGTTTTGACTCGGCGACTGGTAGACGGCTGGCGCCTGCATGACGTCGGGCATCTGCCCCTGCATGGTCATGTCAAGACCGCCAGCCGCGCCGGCAACCACCGACTGCAGGGTCGAGATGACCGAGGCCAGACGCTGCTTGATGACGGCGTTTTCGGCCTCGACGGCCTCCTTGGCCCTGATGACAACCTGAAGCTCCTGATACGGCCTCTGGGCGGTCAGTTCCCGGATCCGCCGTTCCAACGACTCAATTTGGTTCCTGGTTCGCTCGCGGATAGCGCGCTGTGCCTCCCGATCTAAGTTGGGACACGTCAGCCAGGACCATGCCTCTTGTCACTCGTGTCTCACGAATAGCCTAGCGTCGTGTAACACCGGGGCGGGGAGGCCGAGTAATGAGCCAGCAGAGGGAGAGCCCAAGGATAGGGCCTATCGTAACATGTATCTTGTGCATGCACCAGAACAACATACCATTGGCCCTCTTTTTGGCAAGCTGTTCCGGCGTCAGATTGGCCACGCCACGGCCCGAGCCGGCGGCGCTGCGACGCTTCCTCCCGTCCGGGAGAAGCGGCTGGGACGGCGACTGCTGCTCCTGGCCGCCGAACCGCTGGTCGGGCGGCGGGCCGTACGGAGACTCGGCGTCGGCATCGTCGGGGCGCTCCCGCTTGAGGGACGAGGAGCCGGCGCGGCCGGACTGCGGCGAGGCTGCGGCGTGGGCCAGCCCGAGCAGGCCGCTGTTGACCCCGGCGGCAGCACCAAGGCCGTTGGCGGTGGTGTCGGCGGCGCTGTTGCTGCCGCTGCGGACCTGTATCTCGCCCAGGATGACCGGCGACGACTGGCTGGCCTGGGCCTGGGCCTGTGCGGCGGCGGCGGCGCGTGTCCTGGTCTGGGCGTGTGTGGGAGGAGCTGAGCCGTGTTTGTTGGTAGCCGACACCATCCCGGGCGAATGAGACGAGGGCTCGGCTGGCAGGGCTGGGCAGGGCTGAACACGCAGAAGAAGAAAAAAAGAGCAAGCCAAGAAGAAGCAATGAAAAAAACAACAGCAGTAACGCTGGCGGCCGAGCTCAGCCAACGCGAACAAGCCAGACAAGGCCCGATGGTTCGACACACGGAAAAGGCGTAAAGCTCCAGGGGCAACTATCACGAGCCTTGGCTTGAATCACGTTTTCCTGTCGCTTCCCTTTTTTGAGCCGACTGTTTGTCTCTGTCGTGAATCTTTTGACTCGCCCCGCGTCAAAATCGGTCGGCTTCGTTGCAGAAAACGAATCGAGTTTTTGATTCAGCGGTGCGCGGCAGGTGTGCCCGTTCACGAGTCATGATGCTGCAGGCGCCACCGGTCACCGACCAGCCTGATCAAACTTTTTTTTTGGGTTCTTATCTCTTTTGGCCTCCGTTTTGCTTGGCCCCAAGTCCCGTGTTTGATGGGACCCGCCCCACTGATATGCCTCGGCTCGACGGCACTGGGCTGTGATGGCCTGGTCAGCTGACCCTGAGCATGGGCCTGGTTAGAGAAGGGCGAGCATCAAGGCAGAGTGATGGAGATGGATATGCCTAGTATAAGTGTTTGTTTGCCCATATCTCTCTTGGGTGTATCCTATTGCATCTTATGGCTGTCGCTTAGATAGGGATCACACCACCTTGGTTGGGGTCCGGATTGTTGGCTAAGAGCTACGAGGGAGGCTAATCGTCACATCACCCCGCCACTGTCACCCTCCGCGCTCGATTGTGCAGTGGGCTGACGACATGCATATGTCAACTGGCGCCCTCGACACCAGGCGCATAGGTGGCCAACCTATGTCAACCCACTGATCCCACCCCGTCGCTCTCACCATGACCTACGAGTTTTACGACCGAACATTCCCGATTCCAGATCCCTAACAGCAACATGCCCGACGACTCTGCGTGGAACCTGGGGGAGCCGTGGATTGCCGAGGCCAGTGAGGCCGCCATCAATGGAGCTACCCGCGGAGGTCATGTCGACGTCGTGTGCCTGCTGCTCGCCCTCGGCGCAGATGTGGACTCCGAGTGCACGCATAATAATGAGCTACACACACCGCTTCAACACGCCATAGAATCAAATAATGTCAACCTGGTCCGCCTCTTCCTCGAACACGGTGCCGATGCGAACTTGAAGTTCTTCGATGGTGCTCCGGGCGAAGCTGTTGACCATCGCCACGTTTGCTTTGCCACCTCTGACTTGGACATCCTCGACCTTCTATTAACCCGCGGAGGGCTCGATATTAACGAGATTAGGACAATGCAAAGCTGTGGAATAGACACCACAAGCATTCCCTCTTTGAGAGCACCTTCGTAAGCGCCGACCGCGTCCAAGAAATGATTTGGACATGGCTAATCTCCAGTGACAGGCATATCATGTGGTGCAGCAAGGTGCCGAAATGATCGAGTGGGCAATGAACCGAGGTCTCAGCGCATCCAACATGCTCCTCGAAGCAGTCAAGCCTGGAGACTATGAGACGCTGCGGTACCTGGTGCTCGACCTAGGCCTCAAAGACGCCGACTTCTACCCGCTATCCGAAATTCATAGCTGGCGAGAGGGCCAGTCCGAATCATTCGACCAATGCCTACCCGCCATCAACCTCCTCGTTGGCACCTTGTCCGAGGACAGGGCCAAGCAGCTACCAACCGTCCTCTGTGCTGCTCTGGAAAACGATCTCAAGGACGTGTTACAGTTCTGGCTGGATTGGGGGGTCGACATAAACGGCTATTCAACCGTCGGTCTGACTGCATTGCACACAGCAATCATTAGTCACTGCACGGTAGACTTCGTCGAGATGCTTCTCGAGCGAGGTGCAGATGTGAACCGCCGCACAGTTGGCTTCGCCCCCGAGCGTTATGGGCGCAGTGTCCACGGTGGAAGCAACGCTTGTGAGATAAATCAAGGTCCTAGAGGATCACGAGTCCCATATGCCTGCTGCCGACTTCTGACACGGTCCCGCTCTGCAACTTAACAGTGCACCTTGCCTACTCAGGAGGCAGGAAAATGAGGGCAGGAGTCGCCGAGGCTCTGTTGGCTGGCGGCATCGATCGAGAGGCCCGAAACGAAACCGGTTCTACTCCGATCCACGAGCTCGCCACATTCATCGGAACAAATGGTCTTTACCCAACCGAAATTGAAGAAGCGATAAGAATCCTACGAGACTGCACAAGGGATCTCAAGGATATCAATGCGGTCAACCACGAAGGCAAAACCGCACTGCATTGCACCGCTGGCGCCGAGGGATTCCTAGAGTACCAGAAAGAAGCCGCCATTATTCTGATCCAGCGGGGTGTCGATCCGAACATCAAGGACAGCAGTGGAATGACGGCAGAAGGCTTTTTTCGACACGCTCACGACGTTTCTTTCAAGGATTGGATCGAGTTGGGCCTATGTGAGGCCGTAGAGCAAGCGTTGGGACTGGATAGCCTGGCGCAGTGCCGCGCTTTATACACAACTCGTTCTCTAGCAAAACATAGGCACATACATGTGGCACCCAAGCCATCACCACCTCCCAACGCCCGCCCAGTAAGTCTCGGTGCTGTTGGCGGCAGGATAACAACCACGCTGCCCTAGATGGCTGAACATCGAAAGCATGGGCCAGTCAGGGTGTGATGGAAAGGGGAGAAACTTACTGCGCCTTGTTTCTTCTTCCCCCTTTTTTTGTCGGTCCCGCCTTGTCCCTACGACCAACAGCGCCACCAGCGCCGCGGGAGCCCCCCGGTGCGGTCTGGGCCGAGGCAAGATTGGGGAGGGGGGTAATGCCCAACAACGGCGCAACGTGATGGTCGCACTAGCTCGTGCGAGCCTACCGTCCCCTTCCCATCTTTCCCCCTTATCCCGCCGTGGCAATGTTGTCAGGGCCCATCCTACAGCACCGCCCGCGGTGTGTTTGTGTTTGGGGTTCCATCGGCCATGCAGGCCTGGCTGGGGAGATGGCCACGGCAGGCTTTTGACTCAGCAACAGTCGGCATCAAGGCTCGGAATAGGTTGGTGTGGTTGTTGGTTCTCGAGCCGAAGCTCTGGGGTGTGGGTTTGCCGTGTGGAATAAGCGCAGTGCTAACTTCCATGCCCTCTAGCGAAGAGGCGCAATGCGCGCGCAGCTCCCCAAATAGCCCACTATGTTTTAGCCTGTTAACCAACAACCTGCCAGCTCCTCTCAGCCCCAGGGCGCCATTGCATCACTTCAAAGAGAGAGAAAAAGAAGAAGTAAAAGAGGAAAACAAAAACATACAACACCGAGGATTCCCCAATGGTCACCCACCTGAGTACTAGTTCGGACCTCATATGTTTTGGTACTTGGAGATTTTGAGAGCGGATGGGATCCTAGGGGTCCAGAAACGGAGGGTTTCGCCTACAAAAAACGGATGCCTCTGCTCCCCTTTGCTCCCACCGTCCAACGGCCGTCTGCTGCGCCTCACCCTATACACCCACCAGGGAGAAGACGGCGAACGGCATGATGGATACAGATAGAGTTAAGGCGTTACGGCGTACAAGAATGATAAATTTCGTTAGGGGCCTCGGTGCTTTTCAAGGCAATTTGAAAACCTTACCCTGTCTGCCGATCGTGAGGCCACAAGTCAACCAGAATCGTGTATCAGGAATATTAGTGGCGGCGCCTTTTCCTTTTCAGGCCTTGTGGCAGCTGAGGGGGTAACCCCTTGCTTGATTCCCAGAGCGCCTGAGCGTCCGCGCACAAGCCAAAGTGTTCAAGGAACCCTCGAGCAGTATAGCACCGATCCCGGATGCGGTACAAGTCGAGGCCGCTCGGAACTGGTCTTCGCTCGACGGCCGCTTGGCAGCCCTTGCAGCTCAGGTGGCGGGTGGCCTTGCCAAGCGGCGATGCCCGGTCGATGTGCGGCAGGGCCGTGACCACCATGCACCTCGCGACCTCCGGGTCCTCCTTGTCCGCCGGCGGCTCGGGGCAGGAGGCGCCAAAGGCGTCGAGCACCGCGGCGCAGGACACCAAATACCGCCGTCGGGTTCGACGCTGGTCCCACAGCCCATATTCGCCAGGGACCGTATGTACGGCCAGCAGCGCCTCCCTCAGGCGCCGTCGGGGCAACGCGGAGGCCTTGGCGGCCGCGGCGGCAGACACGACGGCCAGCTTGGGCGAGGTTTGGATGCAAGGGAAGCAGCAGCGCTGGAGGGTTGGGATAAACAGGACCGGCCCAAAGAGGCCGCAAAAGGCGCAGGCCCCCGAATCTGACACGAGATCCCATAGGTCGTTCAGCGTGACGCGGGGCGCCACGCCAGTCAGGAGGAGGGCGTGGAGGACTGATGGCGCGTGCGTGGCGACGGCCCGGTACTGGGGCGAAGCGAAAGCGACGTGCCGGGCCAGGTTGTTAGTTCCTCGGAAGCGGAAAACAGAAAGCACGTCGAGCTCAAGAAGGATGTTTGCGAGCAGTTCCGGCGGCAAACGGCTGAGCGCGCCAAGAGAAGAAGAAGACGACGACGAGAAATCTAGGCGTCGGAAGGGTTCCAGGACGGAGGCGCGCACGCCCGGGTGCTTTCGCTTCTCGTCTGGGTTGGGGCGGATGCCGATTCTGTCCCAGGAGTCGCGGTAGTAGGTGGTAGCGCGCAGGATGGCTGCCTTCGACCGCTGGCGCTGCTCACCATCGGCGTTTTGGGGAGGAGGGGCGGATGTAGACGGCATTGTTGCTTGTCGACAGGTGACGATGCTACGTGAGGACGCGTTGGCGCGAAATCGGGTTGGGATGATTGCCACCAATTAAGCGCATTTCGCAAATATTGGACTATCCCAAGCCCACCCAGCCATGCTGGCGTCGACGAGAAAGTAATTGAAACGGGTTTCAAAAAAGAATAGCAGCCAAATTGGTAAAGTTGGTTCAATGCAGGGAGGAAAGCAATACCCAGAGGTGGGCGATTTCTTTTCCTAATAACTATCCACGTAAAGCACCGCCAAAGAAAATATAAGTTCGATAAAGACAGGAAGGGGATAATAAAGCAACAGACGAGATGAGAACCCTCCCTCCAGGTAGCAGCTGGATTGGTGGGACTCAGCTCGAACGACATTTACACGCTTCGGAACAGGCGTTTCGTGCAATGTTGTGTTTCCAGACCGCCAACCTTCCTTTCCCATCTCGACTAGCACAGGTTCAATTCTCCCACTACCAACATCTTCATACTCGATAACAAACCATGGCGATCGTACAAGCCACCCCCAGCATCATCTCGATGGACTTCGGGAACGGCCGCGACGACAGCCACTTCCGCATCCGCTCCGGCCACAAAGTCAAGTATATCACCATCCTTCCGAGGACCCTCAGCGTGGACACCCTCGATGACATGCCGCTCGACTTCGAGGCCATCCTGCCGCCGCTGGACTACGGCGGCGACGGCTGGACGCATGCGAGCGTGTTCCGGGACGCCCAAACCGGCGAGCTGGCGGCGTCGCTGTCGTCGCCCACCATGGCCGGCGTCGAGAGCGTGTGGCACCCGGAGATGATCGATATGATGGACCTGGACAAGATCAAGACGTGGAGCATGCTCGTGCAGCTTTGCAGATACCACCCGTCGTCATCGTCGTCGTTGTCGTCGCACGTCGACCAAGACGAGGCGGGGGCGGCGACGGCGACGGTCGCCGGCCCGACAACAAGAGTCGTCGTCGCCAAGATGGCCCGCTTCGAGTGGGAGGTCGCCTACATCGAGGGCGAGACGAGAGGGTACAAGCTGCTCGAGGGCACCGGCCTCGCGCCGAGGTTCCTGGGCCACATCCACGAGGGCGGCCGGGTGATGGGCGTGCTGCTGGAGCTCTTGGAAGGCGGCCGCCCCGCCGGCGTGGAGGACCTGGCGGCCTGCTCCGAGGCGCTCGGGCGGCTGCACGCCATGGGGATCCTGCACGGCGACACGAACCGGCACAACTTCCTGGTCTTCCCCGGGGGCGGCGGTGACGGGGGCAAGAAGGTGGTGATCCTGGATTTTGAGAAGCACAAGGAAGGGGCGAGCAGGGACGAGTTGGACGCCGAGATGGAGGGGCTGAAGGCTCAGCTCGAGGAGGAAACTGGCCGTGGGGCAGGGTTTCCGCGGTAGGTGGCGCGACGGATATGCCCGAAAGGATGGTGTCGTAACTGTCCTTGGGTTGAATTCAGAATCGCCCACTAGTTGGGTATGGGCCCACAGCCCAGGGCTATTTTTCAAGGCTTTTTTTGCACAAGACCTTTGCCTAGTTCGTTAAGAAGTTGATGATGCCGCTGTGAGCTGCCCGTTCCAAGACAGGTCCCAAGACAGTTGTCCGTCGGAGATGGCCCAGGAGGCATGCCTACAGAAACGTTCCCCGCCCTTGGTAGGTATGCTCGAAACTGGACCGCTCTCTAGACGAACTTTGTCGGTCAACAGTTTGTATGCGATGGTTCGTTCGTCTTGGCGGCGGCGTCGCTCCTGCGCGAGGAGGTGAACGGGGAATGTCTCGGGATACCACGTCTGTGAGAATCCCTAATCTTATTTGTCATGTATGGCGTTTGCTATGTGTGTGCAGCATCCCTTACTCTACACTATTTCGTTCCAAAGGAGCAGAAAGAAAAAAGAAAAGAAATCCGAGTCCCGATAGGAGCAGCACGCCCTATCCACTAGATAGTCCCGGCGCTGTCTCCCTATCGGAGACGCAAAGAAGATCCGACGCATATGTGCTCTAAAGTCGAGACTATCTATCCCAACATGGACACAGAGGGTACCTCTCGAGGGAAAGAAAACAAAGAAAGTAATAGATATTATGCCCACACAGCCATGTCCCTCAGCACCTCGTCTGGCAGCTCGACTTCGACAAGATCGAAATCTGTGTCCCGAGCCAGCGCCACCACGTCCGCGCCCAGCTGCGCCCTGGTCTGCTCGTCCAGCGCGTCCACGTCCAGGTCGAGCGCCCTGTTCCGCTCGTGGCGCTGCGTCGCCAGCGCCCGCGCCTTCTCGCCGCGCGGGCGGGCGGCGGCATCGCTACCAGCAACATCGGCGCCGCCGCCGTTGCCGCCCCTAACGTCGGAGTATTTCCGGAGCGCAGACTGCTGCTGCTTCGCGTCCGCGAAGCGCAGCGGCGAATTTCGATCATTTGGGTCCATCCGCGAGTCGCGGCAGTAGAGCCCGGTCGAGTCGTAGTTGGGCCCCTGCACCGCGCCGATGACGCGGCTCCGGCGCACCTCAAGCTGGCCGGCGTTGATGAAGGCCCGAGAGAGCGTTACGCCCGTTTCGTACGCGATGGGGTTGCCCGCAGCATCGTGCGTTGGCCTGGGCGGCTCCGGGTGCAGGATGATTGGGGTTGGCCGCCGTCTGGTCAGCATGCCACCATCCTCGGTCCGGATTCTCATCGGCTGTCCCGGGAGAGCTGAGGATGAGAGCGGCTGCCCGAGGTTTTTGGTTGGTTTGGCTGTGCCATCGCTGGCGCCACCCCACTCGTCCTCCTCGGAGTCATGCGTTGTCAGCAAAAATACGCGGCCCGTACCGTCGCCAATGACCAGTTTCGTCTTGTCCGGCGAAAAGGCCCCGGATGTGACGGCGCCAGGGCATTCCAGAAGCACCCGGACCAGCGGCTTGCCCTCAGTCCGCACATTCCAGACCCTGACCGTGCCGTCCGACGAGCCTGTATAAAAGCGGTCGGGTGATGAGCCCCATGCTTGGAATAGTACACCAACATCCCCGATTTCGACGTTGCCAAATTCGGGTTCCTCGATAGGGGCTACAATGAATCAAAGTTAGTCTTGGTTTGTCGATACACCCAAGGGCTCAGAGTTGCGTTACATACGTCCGTGGGCCAGGATTTGGAAGGGGAGGGCCTCCTGGGATCCAGTGTCCCAAACATATGTCTTCCCGTCTGTGCAGCCTGCAGTCACGTACGACGCCTTAGGACAGTACGGCCTGTGGAGTGGAACATGTTAGCCAAACTAGCCAAGGTATAAATTGGCCGCCGTCGCGTTAAACTCACATGATGGTCAAGCTATTGACATCGACGGCAGTGCAGTCGAGCGTTTTAGTTTCCGAGTACGTGCGTCGGTGATCCTTGGCCAAGCTGTAGACACGAATTTGCGTGCGAGTGCTATTCTCCTTGGTGCCCGTTGGCGAGGTAGCGGCAATAAAGCACTCCTGCGACGGGTGCCAAGCCACGTCAAAAATGTTGCACTTGGAGGCCGACGAGACTGACCAGTTCTCGCCATTCAGCCCATCCCAGAGATTAAGCTCGCCCGACTGCCTTTTATCTTCCGGGATATCGTTGTCGTCCCCAGTAAGGCTGCGAGGCGAATATCCCACGAGAAGAAGGTGAAGCGATCCAGCCGACAGGCCCCAGCGCATCGTTGATGGAAAGTAAGCCCATTTTTCGGTGGCCGCGCCTTCTGCCAGGGGCGCCGAGAACGGCCTATAGTTACTCGCCGAAACGTTGTTGTCGGTGATGGAGTAAATCCTGACGGCGTCCGACGCCGCGTTGGCTGCTGTCGCTACCATGCCGCTCGGATGCTTAGAAGCGAGCACGTAGTTTACATTGCCCGTGTGCTCCCATGTGCCGAGAAGCCTCATGGCCCGATCCGTCAGGTTCCAGACCTTGACTGTGTGGTCGAAGCTTGCAGTATATGCTCGATTGTATCGGCTGTCGTAGTCGGAAAAAACGACAGACGAATACAGCCAAGGGTCCTGGCTCTCGACCATCTCCGCCGAGGCGTTCGACCCTCCCTGCACTATAGGCCTCGGGATCCTATGGTCAGGGTACGCGTGGACGGTCCCCTGGGAGGCAGATCCCAAAAGCAGGTTTCCCGACTTGTTATACTGCTGGTTGTGTGCGTCACTATGGCTCGTAGCACCGCAGATAAAAGCGTCGTTGGAAACCCACGATGTGGTGATGATGTCACCAGCCGCGTTGGTCCATTGGAGCCGCAGTTCGAGCTCATCCTCGATCAGGCTCCGGATGCCGTTCCGCACATCCCTGTAAACCGCGTCAGCGCCTACCAGCGTGCTGGAGCCCAGTGGGAGCGCTTCTCGCGATGCTAAAAAGGAAAACAGCTTTGCGTTGCGCGCGCAGCGGTTTCCCTGGTCCAGCATGTCCTGGTCGGGGGCTATTGCCATCGGACACCTGTTCCATCGTCGATATTTGGCCACGTCGGCCAAAAAATTGGCAATATCTCCAGGTTCCCGGCCTGGAAGCTTGATCTCCTTCAGCGTTTCGTCAATGAACTCTTTTTTATCCTCGGACTTTTGTTCCTTGAGGGCCTTCCCGTAACCCTTTGCAATCGCGACTATGTCCTGGTAGCCTTTGCCTCGGGCAAGAGACTGAGCCACAGTGTCGACCTCGTCGACAGTAAGGTCTGCGTGGATTATGGCGCCGTTGGGGATGTTCTCGAAGCGGTTCTTCTTCTTAAAAAGAAGGGCCCTGGAAGCGCGCCTGAGGTAGGGGCGTCTACCTCCTTCGAACACTGACGTATGCAGCGCAGGATCGGTGGCAGCTTGAAGCTGCAGAGCGCGACCTCGGGCTCGGAAATTGGCCGGGGAAGTTGGCTGAATCCGACTCTTGTGTGACTTGGTTACTTGAGGTTTGCGATGGACAGCGGGCCGGGTAGGAGTAGTGGCGGGAGGCGGGGGGACGTAGGTGGCGGTTGGCGGCTGCAGAGAGGGAGCAGCAAGATCAGCTTCCCGCATCCTATACGGGCCTCGCTGGGGCCGGGGCCGAGGCCAAGAGGAGATCGGGAGCCGAGCATCTTGTGGTGTCGGCCCGGCGCCCGGGGCGGCCAACGTCGGGGCTATTTGAGCATCGTCGTCGCTCTTGCCGTCGTCCTCGTCGCTCGAGATGATGATGAGCGAACTGGGAGCCGGCGTGTTTGGTTGGTTGTTTAAAAGGGCACTAGAGGTCGAGGCTGGCGCGACTGTCGCTGTCGTGGCTTTTGTTGGTGTCGCGGCTGTCGCTGTCGTGGCTGTCGTTGCCGTCGTGACTGTCGTTGTCGCTGTCGCGAACGAGTAGCCATTCGCTCCGATTTTTGCCCGCTTGGCAGGCGGAGCGCCGGCTACGTCCCCGTTTGTGTTGGAGAAGCGGTGGCTGGGTCCCTTCAGGCCGGGCCCATTGGGGAGACGCCTCCGCTCCGGTCTCGGGGCCGGGGCCATGATCGGTGCCGGAGCTTCGTCATCGCTGCTGATGATTGTGATGGGTTCCACCGGCCTGGTAATGGTCGCGACTGCGGTTAATGTCATGGCGACATGATGATAGGGTGGATGGGCAGGTAAGCGGTGGGAGAGAGCGATATCATGATTAAGAAGAGCGACACGTTGGCGACAGGCACGGCCGCAGAGTCGCGTCGCGAGGGCCGCATCGAACAAGCGCACTTACATTGAGTATCACTACTCCTCTATCCTACGCGACGCGTCGTGGTTATTTCTCGCCCTTTACGTCGAGTAAGCTCGGTGGCGGGTTAACCGTAGTGGATTGTGATTTTGGTAATTTAATTCAATTCTTCTTCTTAAGGTAGAACTCAAAAAGTAAACAATTTTACGTTTCAGCTCCACTGGAATTTTTAAGCAATAAAAACTACCTACAATATTTTTACATGTGCTTACCTAATACTTATTCCTCGTAATTATATAGGCTTCCAGGCGTTTATTCCCACAATTTACCCTTTTACCAGCTAAAATTTATATTTCCCTTTACGTGTAATTAATAGGCCCGTTTCCTTGCAGTATACTCTTCTTTGAACGAGCGTAAATAACTTACTATACAATTGAAATCCTCGCTGGAATTGACAAGGTGTCGCTATTGCGAACAGGCACAAAGTAGTTCATTTCGTGTGTGGAAACGTAAGTTGAAAGGTAGCGCGAATGCCTTTTTCCTCTCGGTTTTCTTGCTCCGTTTGCTTTTGTGAAGTGGCTTCCGCTATGTTGTATGCTATTGAAATCTTACATATTTCAGACATACTCCAGCCGAGCATGTATACATGTCCTAAGAAAATAAAAATATATACTACAATTGCCGTTAATTCTTCTATAGTTTGTAGTGAATTTCTCTTGTATATTATCCTCAGCGCCTGGCAACCCCTTGTGTTAAGGTTGGCGGAAGCGACTCTTTTGTTGGAACCAGGGGGATTCTAACTGCGACCGCGTGTCAAGCCCACGATTGTCAGACGTCGGAGTGGGTTAAACCGGAAGGGGTCACGACAAAGATTGGGTTAGCAATATCTGGTTCTACAGCCCTGATTATTGAGGGGCAGAGGACAACAGATACAGCGTCAGTAGCACGCATTACTGCCCAACCACCTAACCTATAGTACTTGGTAGGTGCCATTATTCTAACCGCCACCTCCATCGGCCAAAAACGCACTGCGGCGGCGGGGCAGGAGCTCCATGCTTGGCCGGCGGCGGGGTATTGAGCATGCCTGCCGGAACTGGTGTGGGGCCGCGGGTCCATTCCGTCCCTCTGGATTTTTTTTCTTCTGGACGACGGTCGAATTTCGACTTCCACAACCAAAGACCTCTTTCTGCACTGTTGTTGAAACAATTACCCATCATCGAATCCCGTCGGCCTACCCAGCTGCAAACGCAGCCATGGCTTGCAACTGTCGTACCACCGCTTTGCGCCTGTTCGTTCGCGGCTTCGCGCAGCTGCACATTACCGAGCCCGCACTGGCTGTGCCCTCCCTCCGTCAGAGGGTTCACCTTGCCCCCAGACCCTTCTCGACAAGCTCCTGTCGCGGCATATCCTCGTCGGCACCATACCGAGCGCCTCATGCCGTCTCCCCGGCCGAAGATCCAGCAAGACCCTCGCCGGCCCGCGAAGGGAGCGGGGTCGGTAGGCCCTCAGGTGGCAACGAAGCTGCAGACCACAGCGAAGCAACACCCAGTGCCGCCGAGGATCTGACCCCCGAGGCCGCTGATGCCCTGTTTTCCGACATCATGTCTATGTCTTCGCATCAGAGCGCCTATAAAGCCCACGACCACCTATCGACTCCTGACCCGGCTGAAGCTCATGATTACGATGTTGAGGATATCACCGGAGACGAGGGGAGGTGGGACGTGGGCCTGAACCAACATCGTCAACAGGAGAAGAAGGAGAAGAAGGAGAGGAAGAAGGGCGCAGCTCTCAACCCATTCAAGGAGCGGAAGATGCCCCCAGCTCAGGCTACCCCTCGGAAGCTCGAGCCATGGCAGGTGCACAAGGAGGCGGTCGCAAAAAAGCTCAACGGCGAGCGGTGGAACCCGCGCAAGCGGCTGTCGCCGGACGCGCTCGAGGGGATCCGGGCGCTGCACGCCCAGTTCCCAGAAACCTTCACCACGGCGATGCTGGCGAAGAAATTCGAGGTGTCGCCCGAAATGATCCGGCGCATCCTCAAGAGCAAGTGGAGGCCCACGCCCGAGGAGGAGGAGGAACGCGAGCGGCGCTGGTTCAACCGCGGCAAGACGATATGGGAGCGCAACGCGGCGCTGGGCATGCGGGTGCCCAGGAGTTGGCGCAACGCCGGGGTCAAAAACCAAAGGAAGCCAAAACGCAACGACGAATTTGGCCTTCGGTCGCCGTTTAGATGAGCCCTGAAACTTGACATCAACATGTATCAATACTCGAATAGTCTATCTCCTCCAAATGCTCTCGCCTGGACTCCTGCTCATGGTCTCTAGCTCAGTGCTGGAACATGCATACATGCAACCACTTACGCACAGATTCAACGGTCGGATGGTCCAGGCGGCGTGGCTAACTAATGCATTCATACACGAGTAAGCTCATTAGCTCCCACCGAGCTGAGCTCTTCACATGGCATGCCCGCGGGAGTGTGATATCCTAAATCCATCACGTGGACCCGGGAGATGGACTCCTAACGCTCGGTCGTGTGCTGATCGTCATCTGGGGGGTGGCGCATGGATCCGTTCTTTGCGTCGCAGCCTAGCAGCATTTCGGAGCAGGTTCATGCATGAGGAATGTCCCGGAATGGAGGCTTTATGCAATGCACGATAAGATCGTGGATCGGCATCCCTCCCAAGGCTCTCAGGCGTTGGCATGCTGGAAATGAGAAGGGCTTGGAGCTTTTCCCATCACACCTTTAAGTGCGAGCCCGTCACCATCACACGCAAGGGTTTGTTGGCAGGCGGGCGCTGGAGGTGAGAGGCTTTTGAAGCCCCGGTAGTTTTGGTCCCCCACATGCCAGCAGTATGTCTTGGCTTAGACCAGGCCTCCCCAGCCTAGAGGGCCCGAGTCACCAGGGGATTTTTCGCGGGCCCACATCCGGACCTTTCCGAGCGACATAGCGCCTGCAGCAGCTCTTCGATGGTGCCGTGCCGCCCGCCGTTGTGCGGATGTGATGCTGGAGCGATAACTGCCATGGCAGAAAAGAAACAAGTATAAGCGACAGGCTCCGTCGTGAAACGGAACGTGCTGGCGATCCATCCGCTGCGGAGGAGCCAGCCAGGCCAGCTCGCAGGCGCCCACACTGCGCTCTCACCGTCACCCGGGCCCACACAACGCGGGCGGCCGACTGGGCGGCCCCCAAGCTCTGGACGGGCCAGTGGTGCGCACAGGCCAGGTGATACATGCCAAAATGGGAAGGCCCCATGTCCCCAATGGGCCGGTGATTGGCTAGGGAGAGGGCCCCAATCCTGCGTTTTGACCTGGTAACGGCCAGCGCGGGCCCTGACCCCTGCACAGGGAATTCCAACAAAGTTGAAAGGCTGGGAACTGGTGGGTAGCGAAGCGAGGGCATCCCTGTCGCCGCTGGGGGGCTGTCACTTTTTGCAATTCTGACCTCGACTCCTTTTTCTCCATCGCAGATTTGTGTGTGTGACTTTGGGATTTCCTCTTTTCTTATTCGGTGTTCATGCTTCCTCGTCGTCATCGTCGCCGTGCTTCTGCAGCTTAGGCTCGCTCGCAAGTTGGTTGGAAGGGAATTTTCCCAATTACGCTGTACGTCCCGTCATTGGAGTGCCCTGGCGAGCCCAGCCCAAACCCACTACCCAGACCCGACCCGACCCAAAGCCACGGCTGCCGTCTCCCGCCTCTGCTATTTTGGCTGGGCAGCTTTAGAGGTGGCGGTCCGATCTCGACAGCCTCGAGCAGCAGCGCCCGGGTGGAGGTTGTTTCTTTGCTAACGCGTAAAATACGACCTGCAGCGTTATTTCCTTGTTTGCACCAACCCTCCTGTCAGCTTCAATTCCAGCGTCGGGCGGATAAGACACCCCTCGCACGCGTCTCGTGTTGCTCTCACCGTAGACATTCCCTCCGCCTTGCAGACCGCCGCAGCATGATATAGAGTTCCTTCTTTCCTCGCCACCACCTCAAGCCCGCGGCCCTAACCACGCCCAACTTCTACCGTATTCACCGAGGCAAATGCGATCAAGATGGCTTCCACTCCCTCGTCTAATCGGCTCAAGCTCACCCCCGCAAACTCTCCGTTCCTTGCCCGCCCCTCTCGGTCGCCCATTCGAGCCCGCGCCGCCGTAGACTCGTCCCGCCTGTCTCTGAAACGGGTCATCGGGACCACCTGCGCGTCGCCCACCGGCTTCGACACCATCCAGTCGTGCTTCGCCTACATCGCCGGCGGCGCCGTCGTCGTCGTCGACGTCCAGGGCAAGGAGTACTCACAGCGCTTCTACCGCGCCCGACCGACCGCCGTGCCCGTCTATGGCGTTACCCCCGTCTTGCACGCCCCCTCGACCCCGAACTCGACGCCCAAAGCGAACGACAGCCGCAACCGCGTTGCCGCGAGCCACCGGGACTCGTACGGCTCCAACGAGGACTCGCCCGGATCCAAGACCTGGACCCAGCGGGAGCGCATAAAGGCTGCCACATGCCTCTCGCTCAGCCGTGACGGCCGCTTCCTGGCCGTGGGCGAGACCGGGTACGCGCCGAGGGTGCTCATATTCAACCTCCAGGACAGCTCGTCGGACGTCCCCTTGGTGTCCATCAGCGAGCATGCGTTCGGCGTGAATGCCGTGGCGTGGTCGAGCGGCGCCCGTTTCCTGGCCTCGCTGGGGTCCGCAAACGACGGCTTCATCTACATCTGGAGGATCGACCCCAAGACTGGCGCGGCGAAGATGTTCCAGCAGAACAGGTGCACTTCGTTCGTGCGCGGCATGGTGTGGATGGGCAGCAGCGTCATCACCTTTGGGGTGCGCCACATCAAGGCATGGAAGGTGGAGGAGGCGCAGTCGACGTCTCCCTCCAGGAAGAACTTTCCGAGCGACAGCTCCTTCCTCGCGTCGCAGTTTCAAAAACCCCTGCCGGGACGCAACGTCGTCCTCGGCGCCCTCCTGGACGCCACATTCACGTGCGCGGCTTCCATCGACGAGGAGAAGGCCATATTCTGCTCTGAAACGGGCGATGTTGCTCTCTTAGACGACTCGGGGAAGCAGACGAAGCTGGTCAGAGTCATCGGCCTAGACTTTCCCATACACTGCATATCCATCCGCGATGGTATCGCTCATATCAGCGGCAAGAGCGGCCATTTTGCTACACTTGACGTCGCCAAGGTGGCTGATGGCAAGGCCGACTGTGTTATTACCACCACCGAATCGGGCCACGGCCTGCTTGCTTTAGGATTTCTCGACGATCATCTTGTTACCATCGATTCCCGGCAGTCCATCGACGTGTGGGACCCGAAGCACACGCCAGGAGAGGACTGCACCAACTCGCTACACATTCCGATTCCCGGCCACGGAGATCCCATAATGGGCGTGCAGGTGCTCTCGAGGCCCAACGCATCTGGTGCTGCCTTCTTCACCTGGTCCGCAGCCGGAAATATCATATTATGGGATCTGGAGGGGACCGTCAAAGCGACGTTCGACGTTGCTATCGAGCAAACAGAACCCTGGAACGAACTAGACCAGCCGAACGAGCTATGCATAGTAGCGGCCTCGCAGGGAGGCGACCTGTTCGCAGTTGCCGACAAGCTGGGCGTCCTGCGGGTCATCGACTTCACCACCAAGGAGTGCCTCATGGACACCAAGGCCCACTCATCCGACTGCCAGGTCGTGGCTATCTATGAAGGCCAGGCGAGGGTCCTGATGGCTTCGTGCGGAAGAGATCGCACAGCGCAGCTCTTCCAGCGCACCTCGGCTGGCGCTTTCGAGCATTTCCAGACTTTGGAGTTTGCCGCCAAGGTCGTCAACGTCATGATACCCTCGGGCGACAAGGTCATCACGTGTTCCCTGGACCGAACGCTGCAGATCCACGATCTTGTTTCCAAAGACGATGATTCTGATGCTATTGCGGCGATCCCCTCACGCGTCATTTCGCTGAAGTCGTCTCCAGCATCTATGGTCATGTCGGCTGATGAGAAGTCGGTATATGTGTCACTCCTGGATCGGTCGGTCTGTCAGTACGAGATCGCCACTGGGCGTCTCATGACCTTCTTCAAGTGTATGGACGAGGGAGGCGTCGAGTCGGTGGTTCTGGACTCGCTCATTTACGGGCCATCGACGAATGATGGCGAACCGTCTATCCTGCTCGGAATGTCCAACAGGGACAAGTCGGTTCGCATGTACGACTCGGCCTCGGGCTCCTTTCTGGATCGCGAATGGGGCCACACGGAGGCCATCAACGGCGTCACCCTGATAGACGACGAGGAGGGCCAGTGCCGCAAGGTCGTGAGCGTGGGCTCGGATGGGACAATCCTCATCTGGACGCTTGATTTGAGTGACCCTATTGTGGGCTCCGAGGCCAGGGATCCATCCCCAGCCAAGGAGATTTCCCTCACCTCGACACGTCCCCCGCTCCGACGGGTCCTTTCCAAGGCGGAGCTCGCCGAGTTTCAGCGTCCCTCAACCTCATCGGCGGCCGGGCGCAAGTCGCCGCCCCGGTCCATTGGCAAACGGACACCGAGATACAGCGTCCTGGCCGGGACGCTCAAGACGCCGTCCTCGGCGGCGCTGCCGACAACGCCGGTGCCAGCCAGCGCCATAGCAGAGGACACTCCTACCCGAAGAGTGTCACCTCCTGCTGCGAGTCCTTCCGAAAGCCCACCCCCGAGCAGCCCCAAGGACAGCCCAAAGACGCGGGTCAGGAGGCCGTCTCTCCCGTCCCTGGGCGCGACTACCCCGGTTCCGGTGTCGACGGGTATTCGCAAGAAGGGAAGCGTCAACAATCTCCGCGCGTCGACGGCGGTCAGCAGCGGGCCGTACGGGTTCGGGTCGCTCAACATGGCGACGGAGCAGACCAGCCGGACCCTGCGGGCGTACCGCAAGAAACTGTCCTCGGCGGATCCGATCCGGCACGAGGCGCTCACCGAGCTGGACCAGGAACTCCGGCTGACGGCCGCGGCGCTGGGCGACCGGGTCATCCGCTCCAAGGCCATGAGCGAGGGCCTGCTCAACGGCCTGCTGGACCAGTACTCTGAGCGGCTCGTCGAGATGCTGGACGAGAAGCTGCGCCTCCGCGGCATCGTCAGCAGCCCCGCCGCGTCGGACGGGGCCAGCGCCGTCGTTGCGGCAGCGGCTGCTGTTGCTGCCGCGACGTCGGATAAGACGGAGCTCACGCCGAGCGACTCGTCGAGCGCCACCAGCACTATCGGGTCTGAAAGCGCAGCTGCAGAGGGCGTGGCAGACGCGAACGCCGTTTCCACTTAGCGGGTGAAACTCTGCTCGTCTCTCCACCCTGACACGATGTTTTCCTGTCGTCTTTGCGACTCCCGTTCTGCCCACTGTATTACTACGACCGCTACATTTGATACCCATTTCCCCTGCAAACTCACTCACGTCGACGACGTCGCCCACGCATCGGAGCCACCCGTCACCAGACATGGCGGGGCTGCCAGATGTGTACGGCTAGCTAGCATGCTCGGACGCATGCTCACTCTACTCTGTTTCTTTGTCGGTGGCTACTATTTCTATCACGCTGGGCGTTCGGCGCCTTTGGAAGAAGAAGGGCTTATGGGCGGCTTCGTATGCCCCCAGTCAGCAGCAGAAGCTGGATGGAACCGAGACTGAGCAAAAACAGGCTCGGCCGGTCGGCTCTTATAATAGAGCATCTTTTTCTGAAGAAGAATCTCTCCGGGCCATACACTACTGCTCTATCGGATAGATGGACGGATGGGGGACCGCAGCGGGCCCTGATGTGGCGCCCTGCGCGAAGCGCCGCTCTTTGCTCTTTGCTCCTTGCTCTTGCTCTTTTGTATCAGGGTCACTTTTCTGCCTTGCTTATTTTGTCCTCTTTTTTTCTTTGTCCGTATCTTGCACTTGGTATGTTTTGGGCGGGAAATCCGGCGTTTCGGGGGGTTCGGGCCTTGACAGATGTCGGTCCAATCCCTGTTTTGGGTGTTTCTTATGTCTATGGTTTGTGGCCTTTTTTTTTGGCGCGAATATTACATGTTCATCACCGAGTCTGGAAATGAAAATACCGAATTTGTCTCATTCCTTGTTGTTCCGTCTCCTGCCTGCCGGACACTGGTGCCCAAGCGAACTGGAAGTCATCTGAACAGGAGGCCAGCCTCGTTTCCCCCCTCCCCTCACAAGCCAGCCAGGATTCCTTTGCACTATCGATTCTCGTCGGAACAGCCGCCGCCTGCCCGCTCGAATTCGGACCAACGGCCAGTATTAGCGCGCGTCTAGGATTGTAGCGAGGCGGGCGCAAGGCACGGAAATGGCTATCCATCCGTTCACATGCCCGTCGCAAGGCCGGTGCAGATCAATCTTCCCCCTCACACCGCGCCGAGTCATGCCCGCCATGCCCGCCAACCGTTGAACAAGGTCGGCCCATCGGGCAGAACCAACAAACGGACACCTGCAGGCGGGGTTCCGGCTGGACGGCGACACAAACGATAATCCAGCACCCGAAGAGCCCGGTGCTGACAGGGGGTTGCCTATTATTATTTCCCGCTTCATACATGATGTCAAGTCTCGCTGCTCGTCTCGCATGGTACGATTGCCCTTGTGTCGACTCTTGGGGTCGGGGCAGGCAGGCATGCAAGTGAATCAACATTTACATTATCATAAACTTATAAAGCTCTAGCTTAACTACCGTCTCGCTATACCAGAAGGGAATTCCTTCCAGCGGCCGCCTGTCAGAGATCATGTTGAATGAACAACATGTACATTAAATGCAATCATATCCACCGTTGCTCGTGATATAAGAACTTAATGAAAGAACTGACAAATACTCATAGGCTTTCCGCACCTGTTAGGAAGAGTATTAATAAACTCAAGGAAATAGGGCTGTGAGGACAGTAAGGAATCCAAAACATTGCCTGCTTGCGCCCGCCAGTGGTCATGACGCTGTCTCACTTCCCCTTGTGCCTGGGAGCTTCGTCCCGTCCGTGGGCCTTGACATCCTCCGACGCCGCCGTGCCGCGTCTCCTCCTGCGGGGCGGGTTGGCCTCCTCGGCGCCTTCGCGGTCGTACTCGCGGTACGACCCAGATGAGCGCGGCACCTGTCCTGGGACGAGCACGGCGCCGTCGAGGCTGGTGCGTGAAGTGCGGGAGGGGAAGTATGACGACCTTTGGAGGTTGTGATAATCCTTGTCGCGGCTGTGACGGGGGGACTTGTCTCGAATCGTCGACAGCTGCTGAGGTGACAAAGTATTGGGCGAAGATGCCATGGGGCCTCCGCCGCCGCCGGATGCGTGTGTGGTTCTTGGCGACAGCCGTTCGCCCGAAGTCGAAGGCTGCGAGTACTCGGCCCCGCCCGTAATTGTCGGCGGATGGCTCTGCATCACATTCACCGCAGTATGGCTGTGTCTCCGAGTCTGTGGGCTTCGGGCCCTACGCCCGACAGGCGGCGGCTGTAGCGGTGCCCTGTCTCTCTCTGAAGTCGGGCTCAGAGGGATCGATCCGTGGCGTGACCTTGCATTACCATCCGTCGACCAGTCCGCGGACTCGATGTATCCCGACCCGCGTGGCTCTCTGCGGTTCGAGCTCGGCACTCCCCTGTCGGGGTAATGCTGGCCCCGCGGTTTATATCTGTTCGGGTCCCTATGAGGTGGAAGGGGCACTGCTGGGAGGCGCGAAGACGACGACCCTGGGATGTTGAGGTTCAGACCTGAAGGGCGCGAGCCAGAGGGCGACATTGGGAAGACCTCGCTGTCCTCAATGAAATCCTTCAAGGCTTCGTCGAATATCTTGCGGGCCTTTATGTCCGACTGTTCGGGCAGCAGGCCCCGCGAGATCATGCGGGGCATGCGCTCAAGCTTTCCGTCGGCAGCATTTGCTACGCTGAGCGGGACTTGTAGAACTATGCGCGCGAGCCTTTGTGCCTCCTCATCCGGATATGCCTTGATGTTCGCAATCAGCCACTGCGAGAAGCCTGTGGGTGTCAGTGCCGGCATAGTTGGTCGGGATTTGTCATCTTTTGGCACCAAGTAGTATTGGCAGCCGAGACTGTCGAGACAAGTGTTAGCAGGTTGTGTTGCCAGACGTTACGTTGTCTCGGGAGGCTGGGAGGGACAGAGGAAATGGACGGGAACCCGGCTTACTCTTCATACAGGTCGGAGACTCTCTCAAAGAAGGAGAATTCCAGTGCGTGAGGACTGAACATGCCTAACCTGCTGTTAGGACAGCTCTGCTCATAGATGTGGTCACTTTGAGGCTTACTGGCGAAGGGAAAGCGCTCATTGAGCAGGCCATGCCGGGAGTAGAACTCTGCTAGCTTCTCGGGGGTGATCACGATGCTCTTTCGAGGAGCGACCTCGGTAATCTTGAATGTCTGTGTGTAAGCCGCAGTGGAAAAGAGGAGGAAATAGAGAGGAATGGGCTGTATGTGATTCGTTGAGCTTACAATATGGTCGGCTATAGACTTGAACACCTCCTCAGCTCTAGCTGTTGGCTGGCCGCTCTGGTCAAAGAGCCGGCCCCATTTTTCGTCGCTGACACTTGGCTGCGTGCCAGACGGTATGGTAGGGCTTCGCGGAGGTGCTGCTGCTCCCGAAAAGCTGCCGGACCTGGTCGTCGAAGACACGCTGGCATGCCGCGCGGCGGGGCTGGCTGGCATATCAGGAGATGGGGTGGCGGTCTCAGGGGCGTCAGCGACCGAGGCCTGGAAAGGCGCTAGGGGGCGAGGCGGGCCGTTTTGCGAGGGCCTCCCCTCGCAGACAGATGGGAGCGGCGGTTGGGGCTCGGGCACAGAAGCCGTCCCCTGGTGGGACTGTATAGTCTTGAGGATGTTCTCCACTGGGTAGTTCAAGGAAATGTTAGAAAGAGCACTTGCAGCAGCACTGGTTGGAGACTTGCCTTCTTGCCGCATAATCTCCCTCAGCTTAGACTCGGACACCACCATCATCCCATCAGACGGCACGCCAGCCGCCATGGGATCTCCCTTCTGCGAGACAGCGGTGCCTTGGACAGTTGGCAGCGAGGCCTTTCCCGTAGCTGGGCCTCCAGCCTCACTGGCGCTATCGCTTTCCGCGTCGGTGGAGGCTCCATCTGCGTCTGAATCCGGCGGCGAGGGGACTTCGTGTTGGGGAGACATGGGAATTTTTCGGGGTCGCAGGGGAGGGGTTACATCCTCTGCCCAACTTGCTCCAGGGCTAGCAGCAGGCTGTAGCATGATCTGGTCTTCCATGATGGGCCTGAATGCCACGGGAACGTGTGACAGTCGACGCCTGTGGTGAAAGAAATAGAGGTTAAGGTCTGGGGAGAATGAATGTTGTAAAAGGTGACGTGAGAATAGAGGAGACGGGAATGGGAAGCAGAGGAGGTATAGGAACGAGCCGGTTGAACAGCTAAGGCAGGCAGCCGGCTTGAGAAAAAGGAAGAGGAGTACGGCGGGCTGCGGTAGCCCAGGGTACTAGGGCAGTATGATGTGGTGGGTGATATATATCGGACGGAGGTGGTGGTTGATGCCTGGTAGCTAAGGTAGCTTTCACTGGGCACCTATGTGGTGTACACCAAGGAGCACAGGTCGTGGCGAGGACAGCGGGATCCGATTCGTTGGATTGCGGCCAGACGGGCAGCGGCTGACTGCCTGTGGTGTGGGTGTGGTGTGCTGCAGCTCTTACTTACCTTTCCCGCTGCCACCACACTTTGGCCGGGCGCGCGCTAGACGAAGGGAGGGGCGGACGGCGCCCATGCAGCCCATCTGTTGAGAGGGAGGGATCGCCAAGCCGCCGGATGGTGGTTGCAGAGCCTGATAACCTCGCCCGCGGCTCGCCAATAAGCGCGAACCCGGGCGTTTGCCTGCCGGAGAGGTGAGAACGGCCGGCAACGCGAGGCGGTCGTGGCTCGCCCGCTTCCAAGATATGGCACCGCGCGGCATGCGAGGGCTTTGTGTTTGTGCCTCCATATTAGCCGTGTTGGTTGGTGATGCTGCCCGCTAGGCTGAGGATACTGGTCATTCGCTGCCTCGGGCGCTGACTGTTGGTAAAATCGATGCGTCCCGTCTTTGGCTCTGTTACGCCCGGCTGGGGAGGTGATCCTGCAACTCTACGTCAGTCCAACGATCGCGCCCGGCCGCTGAGGCAGCAACATCTGAATAATCTCAGGTGTGACAGAACCCACCCAGCGCTGCGCCTCTTGTGGCGGTTCTGAGGCCGCAAACGGCAGGAACAAGGTGAGGCCGGTGCAAACGGCCCGGGAAGCAGGACCCCCATAACACGGGCCCAATAGGAAGGCATGACAGCGGCGGCGGCTTCCTCTTTGGTCTGTGATAGAATCCGTATGGCTGCTTCCTCTTTGGTGCTCAACAGACATCTACGTGGTTCCAAAGCTTTCATCTGTTTCTCTTTCTTTGCTTTTTTCCCCGGTCATTGCCACTACCTTCAGCTCCTCCGTTTGAGCCCACCGCCCCTGCTCAGACAAACAAACACTGCCTTAGCTACTGATTTACCCTGTGATATCAGTGCCAGGCCAGCTTTAAAAACCCCCTCTCTGCCGTGTCGTCCCAGCTGCTTCTTGACCTCTCTCTCAACCTAATTCCATACTCACTCAACCGTCTCCAGACTTCACCCGCCAACCGCAAACTTTCGCCAGATCCCAAACCCCCGACCAAAACTCTCATCAACCATGGCCGAATACTATCAGCCCGACGGCATGACCTTGGTCATCACCCCCCAGGCTACCGCCGCCCCGGTCGCCCCGCGAGCCGCCGCTCCCGAGCCGGCCGCTTCCGGCGGCGCCAGCGGCTCTGGCCCGGTGTCCGCCCGGCCCGCGGACCGCGGCAGCAACAACAAGTACTTTTGCTGCAACGGCCAGCACTACTGCAAGCTGGAAGACTTCACCCAGACCCAGCGCCTCAAGGGCTCCGGCATCGGACGGAACTCCACCATCTCGTGCCGCAGGCACACCAAGGGCAACAACATCGAGCTCAAGTGCTTGGGCTATTGCGAGCGCGTCCTCCCCATCACGTCCTTCTCCAAGTCTCAGAGAAGCGCCAATGGTGGTCAGGTAAGACACATTGACTTCTTTTTCCTCTCTCCCCGTTTGTTTGTTTCTCTGCTCATCCCTCCTCATATGTCTACTTGCCGTTTGTCATCCTCTTGGCTATCTCGCACTGACGAACGGAGGGGGAAAACAAACAAGTAGAGATGCTTGCAGTGCATCGAGTACCAGCTCAGCCTCGAGCCGGGCCGCATACCGCTGCCCCCTCCGGGAAAGCACCAGCGCGAGTACCAGGAGGAGATTTCCGACAACATCAACCAGCAAGTCATCCCCAACCCGAGGGAGGACGAGAGCACAACGGGTGCCCCCACCACGTCCGCCGCGAGCACCGCCGGCCCGACCGATGGCGACGACGCCAGCACCATCATCTCCCGGGCCACCTCGTCGGCCAGCAGGGCCAGCGGCTGGACCAAGGTCTCGTCGCGCAAGACGCCGTTCGCCGTCCCGGCCTATCTAGGCCGCCGCGCCGACCTTGACGAGGAGGCGTACTGGACGGACGGCTCCGACGACGAGTGCTAGGCTGGCTACCCCCTCCCGCAACTGCTTTCTACTGGCATTTGGGTTTGGCATGAATACACATGGACATGGGCCTGGGATAGTCTAGGGGGTGCGATGGGGGACCGATGGATAGCTGTTTTGGTGCAGTGGTTTTTTATCAACGAGCAGGTAGTGGGCATGAGATTGAGGACATCGATGGCTAGGTTGGCGTTAATGAGCTAGGGCGTGGTGGAATATGGGCACGAAATCGTTTTGCATTTTGATCATAGACATGAAGCGTTGCTAGGTAGGCGATCGATAGGACACGAATAACACAAGGACAGACAACCCCAACGCCAGTCTTTGGTTGTCCTGGAAGTGTCCCTGACACCGTCAAACCTCGTGAGCAAGAGAATACAAGATTGGGTATCATACTGAAAACATGGGGACGAACCAACTCTGCAAAGCTCCAAAAAAAAAAAAAAAAAAATAAGCCCCGTGTCCGCTCTGGCATGAAGATGGCGACAGTGGCGCAAAACGCCCACTCCTCCCTACCATCTTACCGGCTCGGCAGGTATTCAGACCCAGTACTCGCGCCCGCCCGCGTCGGCGTGGTGAAGTAACTCGCTGTATCCCGCCGGCGCCGCCCCTGCTGTTGCTGCTGTTGCCGCAGTGGGCTCCAAAAGCTACTGCCGCCGCTACCTCCTCCTCCGCCGCCCGTCGCGGTGGTGGTGGAGCCGTCGCCGCGGCAGCTCCTGCGCTCGCGCCAGCGCTCCTGGACGGCCTCAAAGTCCTCGCGGAAGTTCTCGATGCTCTCGACCAGCTCCGGGTCGTGGTGCCCGCGGTGACCGACGTCGCCGCCGCCGCCGTCGCTGTTGGCCGAGAGGAGCTCGACGGCCTTTAGCTGGAGACGGATGTGAAAGAGCTCGGATTCGTTTTCGCGAACCTCGTCCTCGCTGTCGTTTTTTTTGTGTGTCAGTGACAAGCTTTTGTCTTTGTAATAATGTGGGGGAATATGATGCTCACAGCTCTTGGACACGCTGCAGCAGCTCCAGGATTCGGTCATCCGCACGTTTTCTTCCCTCGACAAGGAGGCCAAGTATATGCTGTTGCGGAGCAAGTCGTTAGAAAACGGAGCCAGTCTGGAGAAGAGAAAGAAAAAAAGGGGGTAGACGGGAAACGGGAGAAAGGCTTGCATCTGACTCTTGGCGGCGGTCGCTGAGGCTCTTGGCCACGGCGGCCAGTTCCAGACACAGCTTCTCGGCCTCGGCCACCACCAGGTTCGCGACGTCGGTCGGGGTAGACGCGGCCTGGGGCGGCATCGGTGACGCAGCGAGGCCGGCGCCTCCTCCGCCGCCCCCAACCGAAAGCGGCCGCTGCTTGCCCGCGCTCGCGGCCGTGGTGCAGCTACTACTACTCCACGAGCCGCGGCCGACGACGCCGGCCGACTGCTGCTTCCGGGCCCGGCCGCCCTGCCCGTCCGCCTCCTTTTCCGCCGCCCGCTCCACCCGCCTCCTCCGGACCAGTCCCACCGCCGCCGCCGCCGCCGCCGCCGCCGCCGCCGCCTCGCTGCCGTCGCCTCCGTCGTCCAGCAGCGCTTCGTGCACGGGCGTGCGGGGCCGGGGCGGCGTCAGGGGCATGTTCTTGAAGATGCTGACGGTGCGCGAGGGCGCCGCCGCCGCCGCGCCCCTGGGCGGCCGAGGGCCGACGAGCAGCCTGGGGCAGCCGCGGCGGCGGAACACGTCCATGACGTTGTCGATCTGGTCCTGGACGACGACAAAGTCGGCCGTCTCGAGCCGCGCGCCCGCGCTCGTCTTGAGGTACGCCAGCACCTCGACCAGCTGGTCCTCGAGCAGCCTGGCTAGCTTGCGGCGCAGCGCTGCGGGCGAGACGTCGCTGTCGCCGTCGCTGCCGTCATCGGAGTCGGAGTCGTCAGAGCTGTGGCCGTCCAGGCTCTCCTGAACCACCGTCGGGTCGTAGTCGTCGACGTCGTCGTCTGGCGCATCACCGTCGTCGTCATCGTCGTCCGTTTTTCCGTTCGCGCCCTCGGGACCGTTGCTGCTGCCGAAGCTGTCGCTGAACCGAGACGTTGCGCCGCCGCCGCCGAAGAGGCCGGGCGAACGGAGCGGCGCGGAAAAGTGCAGCCGTAGCGGCGACGGCTGTGGCGAACCGATGCCCAGGATGTGGTTCATGGGCGGCGGCGGTGTCTCTGTGTGGCTGGGAGTAGTTTGTGTCTGGTCGCTGTCGCTGCCGCTGCCGGCACGCGCATGGCTGCCGTCGAGGTTTAGTAGCGTCGTATCTGCTAGGGAAGGGACGTCGCCCCCGTTTCCGCTGACTCTGGTGGCGTTTCCCGCCGTTGGCGTGATGGGTCTACTAGGGGCTGCGGCGGCGGCGGCGGCGGCGGTGGTGGTGGTGTGAGTTGAGGGTCGTGGGCGTGCCGGGGTCCGTTGGGGGTTGGGCGCTGGGTTTGGGCTGAGACGCGACGTCATCGTGGTTGCGGGGAGCAGCTGGAGCTGTGTGTTGCAATTAATGGGCCGTCAGTGGCCTGACCAGAAAGCCTGCGTCGCGTGGTGGTGTGCTCGCCCCGGAGCCCCCTCAATCTTACCTAGATGGCTCGGTTCCAGGGGCATTTCCGAGATCATGCAAAGGCTGGTCCACTGCGGGATGGGCGTGTAGATATTTGGATGGGAGTGCGAACTGATTGTAACCTTGACTTGTTGTTTTGTTTACTTTGGATCGAGTCGCCACAGCTGTCAAAGTTGCCTGACAAAAGCCGATTTGGCACCTCCGACTGTAACCAGCGCCCCGGGAGTTCCCACAGCGACCCACCAGTTGGTGAAACCGCCTGCAGCCTCACCCAAGTCGTCCCGACGCAGCCCCTAAACCGTCACAGCGTCAACCAAGGGTGATCATGATCCTGAGAATCTAGCACCAGACTCATGAGACAGAGAACGAGCGCATGGCCTAATAAGCTTTCCAAAAACAAACCACAGCCGGATGTCGGCGGGCTTGTGTAAAACCTTGAATATTCACAGTCGAAAAGATATGTACTCGAAAGGTATATAGAAAAATAAACGCCCAGTATGCCATGCCATTCATAATACATTTCCCATTTCATCCAGTCATTATCATGCCGTTCCCATAACCATAAACCGTAACCGTGACCATAAACCATGGCTATATACGCCCTTGTGCCCAATTCTAGGCATGCCGATACAGCCTTTTTTCCCGAGTACATGGAATCGACAAAGGGGAGCTGACAAAGAAAAGATGCGTGCCGGCAGCTTTGGAAGCTGCTCTGTAAGAGGTCGGATGGGATTGGGAACAAAAGAGAAAGAATTATAATCAGGAGGACCTTAGCCTGAGTGGTTTTGTAGGTTTCGAGACGAATTCCTGATGGCTCTCGTAACGCGCGATATCTGACGCCGGTGCTCGCGGTCGCGGACCCTGGGCGACCGCGTCTTCGTGACGCGCCCGCTGGACCCCCAGCGCTGCGACGGCGACGTCTGCTCGGGCGACCCGGCCATGGCATGTTCCGGCTCGGCGTCGGGGAGCTGCGACTGGGTGCACGAGTCATCGTTCGGGACGGACCCCGTGGTGGACGTGCTCGCCGTGGTGCTGGTGGCGGCGCTCCGGCCGCTGGTGGTGCTGGGCGAGGCGCTCGGGCCGGCGGCGCTCGACGCCTCGCTCGAGGCCGGGCTGGAGAGCGGGCTCCCCGTGGTCCTGCTCGAGGCCGAGCTCCGCGACGCGGCGCTCCGCGTCATCATGCGGGTGCTCGCGGTCCGGTGGGGAGGGGTGTGGTGGGCGCCGACGCAGCAGGCGGGCGAGCCCGTGTCAACCTCGGGGATGGGGCCGACCATGGAGCGGCTCGTCGCCAGGCCCTTTCCGCGGAAGTAGGCGACGAGCATCTGGGCGGCCGAGGCCCTGTTGTCCGGGTCGACGCGGGCCATGGGCTCCAGGAATGGCAGGTGCTCGGTCGTGGTGGCGAGCACGTACTCGACGATGGCCGAGTGGGGCTTGCGGCCGAGCTCCTCCTCGTCGAACCGCGACGCCCCGACGATGCTGATCATGGTGACCAGCAGCGACCACATGTCCATCTTGTGCGACTGGCGGTGCTGCCCGCAGTGCAGCTCGGGCGCCGTGAACACCTTGGTCCCGCAGAAGGACGTGGTGTCGCTCTGCCAGTTGGCGAGGCCAAAATCGGCCAGCTGGAACGTGTAGCTGCCGTCTTCGCCGACGTCGTAGAGGATGTTTGCCGGCTTGACGTCCCGGTGGCAGAGGCCGCGGGCCGAGAGGTAGTCGAGGGCCGAGAACATCTGTTCTCCGACCGCGTTGAGGATGGCGTTCTCCTCCCGCTTGGGTATTGGTAGAAGCGACCGCAGGTTGCCGGTCCGGAGAGGCATAAAGATGCCAACCTCGGGCTGCGAAAAGTCTGACGGATCCCCCTTGTAGCCAAGGAAATCTATGATGTAGGGCTTATTTGCGAAACAAAATCAGCACGCTATGAACGATACAGGACGAGTATGTAACTGGTATAGACAGCGATGCAGCGACAGAATGGGATCCGAGAGGAAGGAGAGGAGAGATGTAAGCCGAGAGATGGTGAACTGCTGTGTTCTGAGCGACCTAGTCGCTCTGGTAATGTCACACTCCCGTCCAACTGTAGAGGGAGGTTTGAAAGTGAAGATGATTGAAAAAAAAATGAAAAAAAAGAGTCCGGGATCAGAGGCAAGGTGAGGAGGACGGATGCTCAATGTTAGTATCACAAAGGACAAAGGTGGGGGGCATTTACGTGTGATAGGGAAGACATGGTCTTGATCTCCCTCTTCAGGCATTCCCTTTCGTACTCGGTCCGGGGCCGGACGGCCTTGAGCGCGATGGGGTGGCCCGAGTCGCGGTCGACGGCCTCGAAGACGGCGCCGTAGGTGCCCTCGCCCATGAACCCCCTCTTGACGGCGTCGCGGACGATGCAGCCGATCTTGGAGGGCATGCGCGTGTCGTACCAGGACCAGATGTCGTCGTCGCCCTCGTCGGCCGTCTTGAGCCAACGCGGGACGACGGCGCGGGCCTCGGCGGCCTCGAAGCCGCGGTCGACGGCGGCGGCGGTGCTGCCGACGCCGCCGCCGCCGTGCCAGCGCACCTTGAAGCGCAGGGCGCGGGGCCCGACTCCGATGGTGATCTTGGGCTCCTCGGGCGGCTCGATGACGATCTGGCGCACGTCGCCGTCCTCGCGCAGGCCGTGGGGCTCGACCGTGACAGACCGCCTGTTGGAGGCGCGCACGCAGAGGAGGATGGCGCGCGAGACGGGGTGGACCTCGAAGGCGATGTGGACCTCTGCCACGTCTGCCCTGGTGGGGAAGCAAATGTCTGCATCGCGGCCCACCCTGGCGATGACTCTGCCGCCGCGGGGTCGTGAGGAGACGTGGTATCCGATCTCTAGCGACGGTGTGCCCTTGCGGCTCATGGAGATGAAGCTGGCGTTTTCCGGGTGTGCGCGCATTGCTCTTGCCGTCTCCTCGTCCCTCGGTTCGAGGTGGAAGAGTGTTTCCCTGTGCACGGGACGTGCCATGTTGGCGGCTGTGGTGTTTTTATTGCGCAGAGGAGGATGAGGATGAGGGTGTGTGGTGTGTGGCTTAAGTATCACGGGAGTGTGTGCAGCAGGAATATTAATGTGTGTAGGGATATTATGATGCGTAGAAACTCCATGGAAGAATGGGAAACGACTTTTGGTCTGCCTAGAGAGACATGGAAAAGAGCAGGCTGGGGACTGCAGAGGCTCGAGAATATCAATGATCGGGATGGTGTGTTTTCTTATGGGGCTCTCGCTCCTCCACTTCCAGGTTCCCCTCCCGCAAGACCACGGCTCCCTTGTCGGTTTGATCCAGAGGATGCCACGCTCGCTCGACTGCCACGCCTGCGGGATTGCCACGATCAAAATATGCCACGCGAGGGTTTCAACGCCTGCCCAAAGCGGCCGGCGGTCCCCAGCGGCGGTCCATAAACGACAGCGAGGCGGTCAGGCTCGTGGTGCCGGGAAGGCCCGCAGCCAATTGATTCCCCCGCCCGCGCTGTCAGCCCAGCCAGCTGTCACCGCCTAACCACCCCAGCCCAGCGGGGGGGCCTGGCCAATGGCGCCGCCTCTGACACGGCATCCCCTGTTCAGAGCTTGCGCCTAGTGCCCAATCCAGGTACCATCGAATCAGGGGCTCCATCTGGCGGTCAGCTCCAATGGCAGCCGATGGCAGCAGCTCGAGCTGTGAGCTCTCAAGAGTCAGTGGGTGGACATGGTGGGCAGTCTCTCCCCTCACCCCACCACCAGGACGGGTCCCTGGCTGCAGGAATGATGGCCGTTTGCATCTCCCGCTCATGCGGTGCGTGTCGAGCCCACCACCCTCTCTCTTGTTGGGGCTGTTGAGGCTGTTGTTCTCCTTGAGCGCCGGGATAATGTGCATTGTCTTTTGTGTATTGTCCCTTGTATGCATCGTCAAAAAGTTCCGACACATGCCCATCCAGCCGCCTGTCCTGGCCATGTTTCCCAAACTCTCGATCGATCACGGGGTGAGGTTTTCGACAGAGTGCTAAAGTCGCATTCCTATGGGGCCGCGGGAGACTTCCGGCGACCCATCCAAGACGATCCAGGTTCTTGAATCGAGCGGCGCTGGAGCTCTTCCACCATCGGTTAGGCGAGGCCGTCGTGTCCGCCCGGCCTTTATGCGTAGCCCTGGCATAGCAGCATCTAGTCCAACCCTGAACTGTGTGCTCGACCGCCTCCTGAGGATCAATACAGACCGTCAGCCCGGCTGCCATCGTGCCATCACACCGCCCGCGGATCTTGGACAACTGCGCAACAGCAACATCGGACGATCACAGTCGGTGGGGGTCAGCGGCAGCTCCGTGTGGGCCCCCCACGCCGCAGCATGATGTGCCGCTGAGATGCGGAGTGACGCCGAGCACATGGGCCACAAGTGTATGCCGGTCGCCCGGACGAGATGGGTCGCGGGAGATTCCCGGAAGTCCGAGCCCTGTCCCTCCCAGCACACTGCGGCAGTCCGTCGCCTGAAATATCAGGCTCAAAGCCGGCCGTGGAACTCGGCCTCCATTCCGCGTGGCGGCCAGGCACTGACGCAGGAACCACGACCTTCCGAGTTCGTTATTAAGTCAAGAAGGTGATGATGGTATTAGGTATGCGGTAGCCATTCGATGTGATAGAGGGGAAACGCATGGGAAGGTTTGTGTTCCTTCTCCCCGCCCCTTTCAACACCACAGGCTGAGAAGCCACAGGCTGAGAAATAAGTGGTGTGTGGGGCTATCACACGGGATTCTGGTGTGGCAGACGAATTGGTCTCGCTCCGTTCTCACGACGGAATCGAGTCCGAGGAAATTGGCCTTCTTGCCGGCTCCGGCAGGTTCGCGCGTCCTTCGTCAAAACCATGAAAAATGGTAGTAGAAAGAGAAGCACTAGAGTCAGCTCATTGAACTATCGGGCCATGGGCCTACCTGACTCTCAGCCCAAAGAGACCACAATCCCACAATCAGTGCTCGGCTTCATTTTTTTCGCTAGTAAATAAAAAATAATTCCTTTGTGTCGTGGCCCCCTGACCAGCTCGTGCGCCATTGCCGTTTACAGAGACGCCCGACGTCTGGAGAGTCGCGGGCGTTGTGCCAAGCCGTCACATGGCTGGGCTTGGAGGAGTCAAGTGCCAGGCTCGGGGCAGATAACGGGCGGTAAACATTCCGACGAGTTGCACGAGTTTGCCTGATCGGCCATCAAATGACTTGTGAAATCTGGCCGGGCACCCCCAAGACAATTTAATTGATACACCAAAAGGGCGGAAAAGTGGGCAACTTTTCCCAAAATCGACTTGACAGCTTCTGGCAAGCAATAAACAGTCAAATGTGTAAACTTCGGGAAAATTATAAAAATTGAAAAAAAAAAAGCTATTTAAAACTATTGCTTATTTATTTGGTACTTGATATTTTGTAAATTTCTAAATTGGTTATTTCGCCGGGAAACCGCTTTGTAAATAACATGCTTCCTTTTGGTGTATCAATTAAATTGTCTTGGGGGTGCCGGGCTGGGCTTCATCATCAGCTCATGGATCGATATTGGGCGGCCTCGAGCTTCTCGCCCGAGCTGGCCCGAAATGTGGGGAACCTTACTGGGCCTGGTTCGGCATTGGGGCTGGATGGGGCCACCGCGGGAGAGAGAGGAGCAGAAGACAAAGGCCCATGCCGCTGTCACAAGAGTTTCTTGAGCTTGGCATGCCCTTTTTCTTGTTCAGCGCCTCGACGTGCTGCTCCTCGAGGTCCTCGGTATCTTGGGTTATCAACAGGCCGGTCAATTGATTTCATTCCCCGTCTCTGCCCGCCTCCAGGAACTGCGGGGAAGCGCAAGAATCAACCACATCAGCGCGGGCGGGTGAGCATCACTGCCGCCAGCAGCCCACCTCAATCGATCGACCCAGCACAGGCCCTTGCGTCATTGCCCCAGCGCCGCACCACCACTGGCTGGCCTGTCGCCTGCCGTGCGCCCGCGACCCCATAGCCTCGGTCTCGGCAACGCCTGTGAGCTCTGCCAGGTCGGTCCCACGCCAATCCCGCCAGTAGCCATCTCCTCCGCCGGGCCCTACCGTTGACTCAACCCGACCACCGACGCCGACGTCGCGCCCGCGACCCGACCTTGTCTGCACAGAGTGCACAAGCTGTTGCTGCTTTGCTCTGTTTTGCTTGTCTGGTCTCTTTATTTTCTTTTAGTCTTCTGCAAATCCTGGCTGGGGATATACCTCATCCCACCTTGCCCTCCCACCCGCCAACTGGGCTGCCAGCTCTCTCGCCCACAATGTCGTGGAGGAAAACGGAGAGGCTGATGGATACCATCAGGCACTATGCCAGCTTTCCAGCAACCGGCGTGAGCTTGCGGCAGATGGTCCAGTTCGGCGAGAAGCCGTCAGTGGGTATGTCGACCAAGCTGTCTGATCTCCCTGCACATATCCGCCGCCCGCATGCGCTGACCCATTGGCCTGCCTCCGCCCGCCCGCCCGCACAGGCACGCTGTTCCGTGCCTCCCAGTTTCTCGCCGAGGAGCTTCCCATCCGCCTGGCGCACCGCGTCCAGGAGCTAGACAGCTTGCCAGACGGCCTAAACGAGATGCCGTCAGTGAAGCGCGTGCTGGACTGGTATGCGCAGTCGTTCGAGGTATGACTAAATGCCTTGGGCCCGTAACAGCCCTGTCCTCTGGTCTCCTTTTCCCTCTGGCTGACCAACCGACCAAATTCTGAACCCCGCCCGCAGGAAATCACCATTCTCCCAAGGCCAACGCTAGAGAAGCCTGTAAAAGAGAGACTGATGAAGCCGGCGAGGACCAAGACGGCGCAAATGCTGTCCGAGGCGACGCCGAACCCGAGTATCGAGGAGGGCATATACAACTCACAACATACACACAACCACAACGGAAACAGCGGGTGGGGCAAGAAGCCGGTGGCGGCGAGGAGATACTTTGCTATGGTGGACGACTACGGGGACTGGCCGCCCGAGCTGCAGCTGTACAACCAGAAATTCGCGCAGACCCTACACAAGATCAAGAGGCGGCACGACGGCGTGGTGACGACCATGGCGCAGGGCATCCTCGAGTACAAGCGGCAGCGGCAGCGCATGCAGATCGATAACAACATCCAGTCGTTTCTGGACCGCTTCTACATGTCGCGCATTGGCATCCGCATGCTGATAGGCCAGCACATTGCGCTGACGGACCAGAGCCACTATCGCGACCCGACGTACGTGGGCATCATCTGCACAAAGACAAACGTGCGCGACCTCGCCCAAGAGGCCATCGAGAACGCGCGCTTCGTGTGCGAGGACCACTACGGCCTGTTCGAGGCCCCGCGCGTGCAGCTCGTGTGCAACCCGGACCTCAACTTCATGTACGTCCCCGGCCACCTGTCGCACATGCTCTTTGAGACGCTCAAGAACTCGCTGCGCGCCGTGGTCGAGACGCACGGCCAGGACAAGCAGGAGTTCCCCGTCACAAAGGTCATCGTGGCCGAGGGCAAGGAGGACATCACCATCAAGGTCACGGACGAGGGCGGCGGCATCCCCAGGAGCGCCATCCCGCTCGTCTGGACCTACATGTACACCACGGTCGACCGCACCCCGAACCTGGACCCGGACTTTGACCAGAACGACTTCAAGGCGCCCATGGCCGGGTTTGGTTATGGCCTGCCCATATCGCGCCTGTATGCGAGGTATTTCGGTGGCGACCTGAAGTTGATATCCATGGAAGGGTATGTGTTTGTCTTTCTTCTTGTTCGTCTCTGCTGTTGCCGGATATTGTGCTAACTCGTCCTTCCCCCGTCTCCAGCTACGGCACGGACGTCTACCTCCACCTGAACCGCCTCTCCAGCTCGTCTGAACCTCTGCAATAGCAATTAGCAGTCATGAGGGACCGCCCGTCCCAAGGATTGACGCTTCCGTTGAGATATCGACTCCAAAAGCGGCTCAAGAGTCTAGAGGTCATCGAGAGGAGGCAGGTCGGCGACGTGGAGAGCATGGTCAACCGGCCCAGCAGTCCCTACTCTGCGCGGGACGAGAGTGAGCTGTGAGCTATGAGCGATGAGGTATTGCTGGTTTGGAGAGGGCTGTAAGGCCATGTGCACGCTGTCTGGGGCTTGGTTGGGTGGTATGGGCGTTTCTTTGCCTGAAGACACGGAACGGAATCTCGATGGCTCCGTTGTTCTTTTCTTTTCCTTTCCCTTCTTCCTTATTGGTCTACTGTCCGTATTATATACTTATATTCATTTCTTTATCGTCATATCTTTTTTTTTATTCGTTGCCCCCGAGCAAAGCCACGGGCGGCTGGGATGGATGGGATCTACGCTCTTTTTGATGTTCTTGTATCTATACGACATGAGCATATCACGGGAAACCGGCGTCTTTTTTTTTTTAGGTTGGCGGATTTCATTGGATTCCATTTCGAAATGAAGGGAAACGCAACAAAAAAATCAGGCCCAAAGATTGCTTTAGCGAGCAAATTAGAGTTGTGATGTTGTGTTTTAGCAGTGGTCTAGTCGGATTGTGATGTAACAGATTCGAGCACGGCTTGAAGCAGGTGACGCGCACGCTGAAATACGTCGTGGTATGTTGTGAAAGATATGGCAGTAACACAGGTAGGTAGGTAGGTACAAAGGAAGAGAAACGGCAGGCTACCAGATATATGCCCTTGAAATAAACCAAGAAAACGCCGTTGTGATGCTGGGAACCCAGACATAAGGAAAAATCAAGTATGGAATGGCAAAAGATAGAAGAAAAAAAAGGGAAAATGTTGGGAGGATACAGGGAGATGGCACCACCCCTCCTCCCTCGGCCGTACCGTAGCATGTGAAAATCAAGACAACCCAACCAACCAACCTGCCAATCACAGCGCCGGAATGCACCATTTCCCAATCTCGCCACAGCTCCACGAGGCCGCCAGTAGTACAGCCCTCCCCTTAGGCCTTGTACAGCAGGTCCAGGAAGCCCGTGGCCAGGTCGACGACGACGCTCTTGTTGGGCAGGCTGCCGGCGACGCCGTACAGGGCGGCGGCGTCGCCGACGGCGGCGCCCTTTGCGCCCTTGCCCTCGGCGATGCGGGCGCGCTCCTTCTCGCGCTCGGCCTCGACGGCGGCCTCGAGGTCGACGGCGAGGCGCTCCCAGGCCTGGGCGGTGGGCTTCGTGAAGGCGACGTGCATGGCGGGCGGGTTCTGGAGGGCGTTGAGGTGCCAGCCGCGCTCCGACATGGCGTCGGCGATGTCGTAGATGTTGAGGTTGCGGGCCTTAAAGGCCACGACGGACACGAGCGGGCGGCCCATGACCTCGAGCTCGGCGGCCAGGACCGGGGAGGAGGCGATGCGGTCGGCCAGGCGCTTGGCGGCGCCCACGATCTCGACGCAGCCCTCGAGGTAGCCCGACTCGCCGACCGACATGAGCGAGGCCCAGCAGCCGGCGATGAGGGCGCCCGGGCGGGAGCCGGCGACGCCGGGCGAGGCGTAGACGCCGCCGGACCAGTCCGGGCTGACAAAGTACTGGTACTTGCGCAGCTCGGCGGTGCGGTACAGGACGGTGCTGTTGCCCTTTGGCGCGAAGCCGTACTTGTGCGTGTCGCAGCTGATGGACGTGACGCCCTTGAGGCGGAAGTCGAACGGCTGCGTCTCGAACCCGGCGCGCTCGAGGAAGGGGACGAGGAACGAGCCGAGGCAGCAGTCGACGTGCAGCGGGATGCGGCGGCGGAGGGCCAGGCGGGAGATGGCAGCGATGTCGTCCATGATGCCGTGCGGGAAGTTGGGGGCCGAGCCGACGAGGATGACGGTGTTGGGGTTGATGAGGCGCGCCATGGCCGCGACGTCGACCTGGTAGTTGGGCGCCGGGCAGGCCACGAGGTGCAGCTTGATCTTGAAGTAGTCGGCCGCCTTGTGGAACGCAGTGTGGGCGGTCTCGGGGATGACCCTGTAAAAGGCGAGGGAGGTTAGCGTTGGGATTTGGCACGTGGGGACGGACACAGGACAGAAACAGCAAAAATACTCACATCTCAGGCTCTGTCACGCCCCTCTCGTTGTAGGCCTTTTGGCGGGCGCTCAGGACGGCCATCAAGATGCTCTCAGTGCCTCCGCTAGTAGTGCAGCCGGCAGCGCCGACGGGGGCGCTGAAGAGCGACAGCACCATGGCGACGATCTCGGCCTCCATCTTGCGCACGCCGGGGAACACGTCCGGGTGGATGGGGTTGGCGACGGTGAACTTGCCGTAGGCGTCCGTCTGCAGGCGCAGCAGCGCGTCCTCGCCGTGGTAGACGGCGCCCGAGACGTAGCCCTCCTCCCAGCGCGTGTGGTCCATGTTTGCGAGGCTCTCGAGCTCGGCCCGGACCGCGTCCTCGGTCCACCCCTCCTTGGGCAGGGCCAGGTGGCGCGTGGCCATGGCGGGCACCATCTTGGTGCTCAGCTTGGCCACGGCCTCGTCCACCTGCGCCCGCACCTTGGACCGCACGCCCGGCGCGCGCAGGAACCAGCCGTAGGCCGTCACGCGCAGCGCTGCGTACAGCTCGATGAGGCTGCCGATGGGGCCCCGCCCGCGGAGCTGCCAGAACGCGCGCCGCGTCCATCGCAAGCAGAAGAGGATGAATATTATGTTGCGGAGCCTGGAGAGGAGGGTTTGGCGGCGGGCTGTCAGCTTATCATCTGCCAAGGTCGGGGGTTCACGCAGCAGTCACGAGACAAGTCGGGCACGCCACAGCCAATGGCTACTCACAGGTCGACATTCAGCAGCTGCATGGGGCTGCTCGGGCTCCTCCTCTTGACATTGCTGAGGCTGTCCCTCAAGCTCTGGGGTATGCGCGACGTGCCCGGCATCTTGGACACGCTCTGTGGTGGTGTGGTGGCGACGCTGATGATGCTCGGCCCGAGTCGGCTGCTGGGTGTGGAGGACGAAGGAGAGACAGAGAGACGACGTGGATTAAGAAGAGAGATTAATGTGGAATGAAGATCATAAGCTCAGCAGCGGCAGGCTGTGCGACAACTGTCCTTTTTTTCTTTTTCTTGTTTATCAGGCGGCGATGTCGGGCTCCCGTCCTGGACAGCAGCTTGGTCGTTTTTATCCTTCAGCGCGGTGTTGCCGTCGGCTTTGTTCAATGCCCGCTGTCCGCGCAAGGTGCGCCAAATTACGCGGTACGCGATACGCCCTGGCTGTCGTTGCGCAATCTTTCCCCACCCTGGGCTTTGCCTCTTTACGCTGTACGGTGGATTGCGGAGCGATGATTGCGGACCCGATGGCGTGGGTGAGAAGATGGGGCCCCAGTTCTGCTATCAACCCGACGTATGATTGATCTCGTATGCAAGTAAACGGGCCTACCTAGGTTGCTTTTCTCCTCATCGCCACGGCCGAATCCGAGACCTACGCGGGGCATTTATTACGTATCTGGAGGTACGTACCCACGTCTTAGTGGACTGGATAAAAGAATGTGAACCAAGCCAAAAATACTCAGTCAAACATGCATTCCTAGCTCCATCGACATCGCGGGGGCTGGCTTGCTTCGCCGGCGCTGAATCACGCAACGGCCGACTCGGAAACCCTCGGTCGGCCGGTCTGTCGCTCCATGTGACAATCGGCGAGGAGGCTGCCGGGCTTCCTCGTCAATACACACGGCCGCCGCAGATAATTCGCGCCGTGTCCTGCTGCTGGCGGCCAGCGCTGCCCGGCGCTTACACAATACTGTCAGTCCCAGGGCGCTGGAACCTTTTTGAGCGGCAGACCGCGGGTCCCACGTGACTGACAACTCCTCCAAAAAAGGCCACCTTCAAGGCCAGGGCCACCTGCACCTACGGTGTACCTCATCGCCTCCATCTTCGGTTCTTGTGTCCACCAGCGCCCACCAACGCTCTGCGTCGACTCGTCGAATCGTCGACATGTCCACACCACACCTGAAACACGCACGCGCCTGCCGGGAGACATCACTGTGGCCAAGGTGCCTCCTTGAAGCTTTGCCTCCTTAGAAACCCAACCTAGGCCACCGTGACTGTCACTCTTCGTTCGGTGTGGCCTTCCAGCCGGCGAAGAGGCCGCGCGCCAGGCTTTGTTGGTGCTCGATGACGACCCGGCAGGGCGCGCGCATCGTCCCGTCCTGATGGGAACGCCTTCGATTGGATCCCTCCTGAGCAGGAGGCTCGGTCGCCCAGTGTCAGACGCAGCGGAGCGTCACACACACCGACAAGAATCTCGCATCACGAGAATAATGGGCCGGGCCATGCTCAACACTAGGAAGCCTCCCGCCAGGGCAACGGCAGCTGGACCAACTAGAGTCACCCACTTGCTCCCACCGCTGTTGCCCTCCAGCCCTCCCATTATTGGTTCAAGAGTCATCATCATTCCCCAACCTATCACATGGCCCATCGCAGCCACCGCCAACCGTGACCACTCTTGCCATGTAGAATATCACATTCTGGTCTGAGACCAAGTGAACTCGACCGTTTTTCATGCCTATTCCCTCTGACCGGGATTATCCTCCTTCAAGTGTCGGTGTGGTGATCCTTCCGCGCGCAGAGTTTGGACACCCTTGTGTCTAAATTTTGACACTTTCCGTCCATAATATTCTGTGGCATGGCGGGTAGGCCAGCCCTTCCAACTCGGGAGCATACACCGACAGCGGCTGAAGATGGACGGGCTGCCTCATAGATGGTTGCCTGCCTTCACCAGTACCACCATGCCGTGCATAAGTGGCTCAGCTTACTGCGGTGGGTGTCAGCTTTTGGAATTTGGGCTGGCATACCTTTGTCCCATCCATCTTGCTCTGATTATCCTGAAAAGGTTGGCACTTGTACACCACCAACCTCCTGCCAAATTTCACGAGGGGTTTGTGGGAGTGTGTTTAAGAATACACATGGGTCTCCTGTTTGGGTCTGGATCTCTTTTGGTCGCGTCTTGGCCGCTCATGCAGTGTTTGTGTGGGCCAATAGACTTGCAGTCAGCGGCTAAGCCACCGAGCCGCTCGGCCAACGTCGAAGGTACCTGTATAATGGAAGAAATGTCGACGCAAAGGGGTCAGCAGTGTGGCCGTCCGTCCTTCGACAACGATATGGAGCTCTTCTGAGCGGTGTATTGACAAACTCATCCCATGATGTCAAAAGAGCCGTCCATATGAGTCAATAATAGGCCACTCGAGGCTGGAATGCCCTGCGGTTGTCATGCGATATATCTGTTGGCGGAGGACAAAGAGGTCAACCAGGTCGCATGGCCGTTTAGTGCCCGCTCAGCCTTGCCTCCCATCCTCGTCCGCAGTGCTTGGAGCCCTCGTGTCTGGTCCCCAAATCGAGGCTAGGCTGACCGAGTGGCCGGCCTGCGCCGACGCCTGGGTACCGTCCCTCTGCACAAAGGCCATAGCCGCTCAACGAGTATAAAGGAAGTCGTTGCCTCGCTCCTCAGATCTCAGTTTTGTCCTCACCATCACCGCTTTGGTCTCACCACATCCTCCCCTTCCGGGAATCTCTACCACAGTCTCTCAAACAGTCTACCACTATCTACCAAACAATCTACAAACCCCACAAATCACATCGGCTGCTATATATCTCCAGCCTTTCTCGGCTTCACCAAGCCCCAAACAAACCACAACTTCCACATAGCTCGGCTTTCATCAGCTTACAAAGAAACTACAACTACCACAAAAAAACCAAACAAAAACCACATACCACATCAACATACCCCTCGAACAGCTTCAACCGGTACGTGCGATCCCGCGGCTGATCCTCAATATCTGCAGCCACTAACAAGGTCCCAGCTCCCAAACACGGCACAATGTTCGGTATTCGCATCTGCCCCAGCTGCGGTATTAGGATCCGCGCCTCTTTCGGCCGCCAGTGCAATGACTGCGACGCCCGCCAGCGCGACGACGAGCGCCTCACCCGTCGCGTCCGCTTCGAGGACGACCCCGTCGTCGTCCGACGCAGCCGCAGCCCCTGCCGCCTGCGCATCCGGCGCAGCAGCCCCCGGCGCGAGGACGAGACCACCACCATGGTCCGCCGTAGCTCCGAGTACGACGTCGTCAACGTCGGGCCCGACGACTTCGACCACGACTTCTTCTCCTCCAGGCCGCCCGCCAACAACACCACCGTCACGCGCTACTACACCACCACGCGCCCGTCGAGCCGCGATCGCGCCCGGGACGCCGCCGACCACGACTACGAGCGCGCCCGCCTGCGCGAGGCGCGCGACCGCGGCGTCAACGAGAACGGCACCCGCTGGTCGCGCTCGCTGCGTGACTTTGAGCGTGAGCGCCTCGACCGCTACGGCGGCCGCGAGTACGACCGCGAGGTCGATTTGGAGATTCGCCGGTCCCGCCCGTCGCGCCGGGACCGGGACATCTTTGACGTCTGCTACGAGCTCTAAAGTCCCTCCCCCAAGAACCCTTCCACACACGCGTGTCTGTTTCTTTTCCTAGAGTGATCTAGGATAGAAAAGACGTGGAACCCGGGATCGTCAAACAGAACTAGCGCGAGCTCCGCGTGGAACCCACACCGACAACACTCCGGCTCTCCGACGTGCTCCCGGTGCGCCGCCAAGTGGTCGGGCACTTGGAGTCCGTACGGGGGCCGGTCTCCACGTGTTCCCTCTTGTACTATTATCCATTACGTCTTGGGATAGAAGGATCGGCGTTTTGTTCGGTTTGGTTTTTTTTCTGATGGGATAGACGGTTGTCACTTTTTGTTCTGCTCTGCTTTTTTCCGCTCATCTCATGTATCTGTATTTTTCTCTTCATGTTTTGCTTGCGACGATATCTTGGGGAGGGGATAGCGGTCATTTGGACCTCTGGACGGGAGACGTCCTGCCCACGTCCACCACGAGTCGGGAAAAAGGGAGTTCGAGCCGAGGCGGGAGACGTTCCGGCGAGGCCGATTCCCGGCCGCCAGGGAGTGGAGGATGGCCCGAATTACCTTTATTCACTTCTTGGTCTGGAGGATATGCCATAGAATAGTTTTCATTATCTGCTCTTCAAGTCGTAACGCCAATACATGACTTTGTTTGTGGCTATAACCAGCTCGTGCCACTGCCTTTATCGTGATTATTTGCCACCCTTCTCTTCCACCTCTTCTCCTCTTGCATCTGATCTTCTTCCATACTCGTTGTGCACCCAAAACCATGGACAGGCTGGTTCCGTCTATTACACCCGAAGTGACTCTACGAGCAGCTTCATAACTGCCTTATGCCATCCCTCCGCCCCTCAATGCAGCGGCAAGCAGATCTGCGACGGCCCTAACGGCGCGCGCCTAGTACAGGGGCATACGCTCGCAATAATTTGTTATATCCTTATCGGCGTTCAATCAAGCGAGGAGTAGCCTCGCGACCGCGTCGTGCCATCTCGGCGGGACCAGGTCCAGCGGCGTACGCCCGTCTTTGTCTTTCGCCTCCTTATCGACGCCCGCCTCCACGAGCAGCCTCGCAACGGCCTCATGCCCTTTTAGCGCGGCCCAATGCAGCGGCGTCCACCCGCTATCGTTTTTCGCCTCCTTATCGGCGCCCGCCTCTACGAGCAGCTTTGCAACGGCCTTATGCCCTCCTAACGCGGCCCAATGCAGCGGCGTCCTCCCGCTATCGTTTTTCGCCTCCTTATCGGCGCCCGCCTCCACGAGCAGCCTCGCAACGGCCTCATGCCCTCCTAACGCAGCCCAATGCAGCGGCGTCCGCTTGTAACGATCCTTTGCTTCCTTATCGGCGCCCGCCTCTACGAGCAGCCTCGCGGCGGCCTCATGCCCTTTCTGCGCGGCCAAATGCAGCGGCGTTTGCCCCCCAAGGTCCTTTGCTTCCTTTTCGGCGCCCAACTCCGCGGCGAGCAGCCTTGCGACGGCCTCATGTCCTTTTTGCGCGGCCAAATGCAGTGGCGTCCGCCCGTTACGATCCTTCGCTTCCTTTTCGGCACCCTTAAGCAGCCGAACCACTTCCGCCATTCCCGCTACCGCTGCCAGATGCAAGACAGTCCTGCCGTAATGGTCTCGCAGCTTCTTGTTCGCGTCTTGCCGTAGATATTCAACGACGTCCTTATGCCCATCATATGCAGCCCAGTGTAATGGAGTGGTCCCCGAGGCGTCCAGGACGTTGAGAGCTGCTCCTGATTCAGTC